CACAGTCTGAGAATACCACTTGTGCACTTACTGTTTCTCTTGGGTGTCACTGCTTTCTCCCTGTGCTGGCCACTGCATCGGCACTCCAGCTCCAGTGTGCTATAGAGTTTCTGCCTTAGACTGTTCGCTGAAGTCAGGTGACCCTTCAGCTACTGAACTGCATCTTTGCTTTTTTTTTTTTTTTAAGATTTACTTGTGCGTACAAGAACTGGGGTACAGGCCAGAGGTGTGGGAGTAGGGTGGGGTGGAGGGGTTGAGAGATAGAGTGGGCAGCAGAGCAGGTGATCAACTGAAGTATACTGCTGAGGGGAACAGTAGGGAGACAGCAGAGGTCTGCTGCGCCATGTGGGTCACCTCCCTGGCCAGGGATCAAACTCATGCTGCAGTGGCTGTGATAGCTTCATAGTGCTGCACTTTGACCTGTTGTGCCACCTGGGAGGCCCCATCCTTGCTTCTCTTGACAGCAGAAGTTTAAGAATTGTTGGTAGTTTCCTCTCTTCATCTTCTCTTGTCAACTTACTTACTCCACTAATACTGCAGATCTTTTCGTATCTGACACTGTATACTTGAGCTTTTTCATTTAATCTTCCCCTCCATCACTAAGCTCTAACAACATCAGCTTCCTTTACTTCCAAATGCCAAGTTCATGTCTAAGGATCCATGTTTTTCCTGCTGCAGAGTCTGGAAGGCTTTTCTGAGATCTCCAAATGAGAACTATTTTAGAGTCACCTGCCCTGACACATAAGAAGTACTCTCTCCTGCCCTCAGTATGCTCCCTTTACTTACTTGAACTTTCTTCTTAAAACTTAATGAATTAGTGAAACTTCATAAAACTTAGTGAACTAACTCATTTGTTTTTCTTGTCTATTCCATCTAGAATATGTCTATGGAAAGAACTTTTGTTACCCAAAAGCATGTTGACATGAAGTAGACATGTGCAATTAGTATTTTTAAAATGGATGAATAAAGTTAACTCACTGAGCTGATTTCTACATGGTCTTTTCTAAAATTATTTTCTACATTTTTGTGTTTGTAGTTAAGTGAAGCTAAGACATGCTTCCCAGTGAAATCCCTTGGCTAAACAGACTTTATTTTCCTAGTTCCCCTCAGATTTTGGTGCCGACATTGGTCAGATATTCATTCTGCATGTGATTTCAACTCCTTCTTCCTTCAATTTGGCCCTAGAGATATGAAAACACATTTTAAGTCAGATTGATTAAGAGAGATGCTTGCCAGGCCTAAGTTTCTCAGCTCTGTGTGTTTTTGTGGAACTATTCTGCCATCAGTCCTTGCTGAGACTAATGGGATGCTAAGGTAATGAACTTCTGCCCTGTCTTTCTGTGCCTATTCTGCTGTTTTCTGTTTTCACCCTGAATATTCTTTCAGCTTCATTTTGCTTGGATCTTTTCAGACACTGTGATTTTGGTTTTTTTTCCCCTTGTGTTCCTTTGTTGAATGATCTCAGGGTTTTCCTCATCCCTCACATTCTAAGTGCTTCTGCTTGGTTTGCAACTACGGGATCTGTCAACTAGCCTTGCCTTGAACCTTAAGACTACCGTTTTTTGCCTTGTTCGTTTTGGTTCTGTCATTGTTGATTGTGACTCTTACCACTTCTTATGTTTAACTCTTGAGTTTTAAGTTTCTTTTTTATTTTATAACTGATGAATTCATGGGGGCTGGTTCCTTTCCTTGGGCTCTCAAAAAGTGTGCTGCTCTGGGGGGAGCAGGCTGCTGCTTCACCTGAATCAAGGACCTCTGTCTTTGGCTTCCTTTATTTTCTGATCAATTTCTTCCCACATTTCAGGAAGCTCTCTTGCTCTTAGTGTTTAATGTGCTCAATGCAAACATCCATTCTCTTGGCAAGAATCTTGCGCTTGATGTTTATAGCAGTGCCAACTGTTTGTGGGGTAACACTGTAGACTCTTCCAGTTTTGCCATGGTAACATTTGTGGGGCATTCCTTTCTGAACATTACCCATCACCTTAATGTCTGCAGTATCACTGTTCTCGGAGATGTGCATGCATGTGTCAAAAGAACAACTCCATGATTTCTGAAAGGCCTACAGGACATAGCAGGTGCTGCTGTTCCTTCCTCAATATTGGTGATTTCTGGAGACTTATGGAAGATGGCAGTTCTAGGCTGAAAGGCCTCACTTTAAAGTTTCTTAAAATTGTTTTTGCTCTCTAAAATATGAGTCTCTAGTATGAACTTCAGTGAAAGACTTAGCTATTCTATCTTTATTTCTGCCCTTCCTTTATATTTTGCTGAGCTGTAGTTGATGCTTGTCTAAGAGAAAACTAACTCTTTAATGTGGATTTGGAGGTGGCAGGGTTTGGTTGCTTTATCGCTCAGAAATAATGTTCACAGACCACAGGACAAAGGGGAAAAAATGATGTATGGCTCAAAATAAAGTTGAGATGTTACAAACACAACCAGAATTTCAAATAATTTGTCTCCCCCCAACACTGTCATTGTGAATCATTGGTAGTGTCAGTTTGATTTGATAATAGTTATTTTGTATCTTAGATTCTGTTATTTTGATGAATTAAGATGCACTAACATAAAAGGTAAACAGTGACTGTCACTTGTCTGGGAGAAGAAGAAATCCCTCTGCTGCACCATGCGGGTCACCTCCGGGGCTGGGGATCCAACTTGCACTGAAGCAGCTGTGGCCAGCTTCCCAGTGCTGCACTTTAACCCGTTGCACCACCAAGGAGGGCCCTGTCAATAAATAATAACATGAATTCTTACTGGGAAAAGTTCAATAGCGCAGAAATACATATTGTGTCTTCTTTTTAAAGCATAAGTGAAATGAGAATGTGTGTCCTGTGATGCAGCTCAATCTCCTTTGTTCACACCACACTTCAGCCGTGCTTGCCTTCAATTAAAATCAAAATTAAAATTTTTAAAATTAAAAATTACTTACTAAAACCCCTCTAATGATATCCCTGTTCATCTAGAACAAAACCTAAATTTCTCACCTAGCTCAAGGCCCAGCGTGATCTCCCCGTATCTTGCCTACACCTTCTCTGAACAACCGGAGCCGCCTTCACATTTGCCCGGGATCTCTGCACTCGGCTTGTAATCCTTACCTGGTTGTTTTTTGGTTTGCTGGAGGCTTTTTCTCGTGCCGCCCTCAAATTAATTTTAAGGGTTTATTTGACGCCTGTGTCTACATCTAGAACTAAGCCTCCATTCTTCTGGCAGTTTGTCACCTTGGCCTCTGGGTACTTCAGAATGATCTTACTTACCTTCCTTCCACTGCATCCCGCTGCTGGAGCAGTCTGTGCTTCCATGCTTGGTCTGTCTTTCTGGATGTTGATTCTTTGAGTCTGTAAGAATAGCAGTTATTTTTATGTGTAGGTTATTTTCTGTTTGCCCCACTAATTATGTTCCTTTAGTGTCTTATTTGGGTTAGTTTCTTAAGGATTGACTTTATGGTCATCTTTGTATTTCAGAAATGCTCACTGCCAGACTTTCAGTACTGATGGTGGACACAGCTGACCGCCTGACTGGAGGCTGGGGCATTCCTGGGTTCCTTTCTTTGCTTGTTATAGGAGTTTGGAGCATTCAAAGAACTGAAGTCACCTCCCTGGCCAATCTCCTCTGGGAGGGTGTCAGAGTGTGATTTAGGCCACCATTCTCAATTCTAAAATTTGTATTTTTGATGGTTATTGTTTAAATTTCTTTTCCCAGCAAGGTTAGGCATTTAGAACTTTAAATAACATACCATTCTAGAATTTGAACTTGTTGGGAGGTGGCCTCATATGTTCAGTTGGCTGTCTTGATTTTCTCTGAAGGTCTGTTTCTTTAGAACACTTTGTTAAATGTAGGATGCAATTTTTCAACCAGTTTTTTTTTTTTTTCATTGAAGGGATTTAAATTTTTTAAAAATTTGATTTTGGAAAATCTTAACAATTTACCAAAATAGAGAGAAGTACCATGAACCACTATATATTATACCCCACCTTCAAAAACTATTACAGTTAGCCAATTTTGCCTCATCTCAATGATGAACAGAGCTTAGCTCATTTGCTTTTATGGAAGAGACTGCTCTATTTATTTATCCCTGTTATGGCCAGAGTTTTACACTAGAGTATGTTCAGTAACTTGTTAAATGAAACACATTCCACAATCTTCATTAGAAAAACCAGGTTATATTTCTAGGTGTGGTAAGAAATTGGATGCAGGTAATTCTCACTATCTGAAAACAGCCAGTTTCTAAACAGGTATTGCATAGTGGGTTTTCATAGGCCAGGAGCCTATAGCTTCATTTTGAATGCAAAAAGTGAGAGTGCTTTTCCAATCCATTGAACCCCTCAAACTATTTTCCCAAATGTTACCTATAAATTCTAAAGTAGTTGTTTTCACAATGTTGCCCCCCCGCTCCACAAAATAGGGCTGTACAGAACTTTAAGGCAGTAGTAAGGTTTCCTTCTACCTCCTTTCCTCTTACCCTTCCTTCTACATGGTCCAGCAGACAGGCAAGGTAACACTACACAGAAAATAAATACTAGAAATTGACAAAACTTTTTTGTTAAACAGCAAGATAAAGTGTATTTCATTCAGATTTTTGCAGTATTAGATACAGGAAGAATTGCATTTGCTTTTGATGACTGCATTTGCTTTTGAGTGATAGGCAATCAGTCAAATAGTTGTTCTGGTAGACATCTACTCTTTCTTCATGTGACCTCCATGTTCAGACAGTGTCTTCAGTCATGTGCATGTATGGTCTCTTTCTTTACTGTATTTCTCTAAGCACTCTTTCCATACCTGTTTGTACTGTTATATACCTCAACCAAGACACCATCTTGTAGAAGATTCTTTATTAGAAGATTCTTTATCAGTTTTACTTATTCCCTTTTCTAGGTGACTTTTCAGCTTTTGTGACTTTTCCCCTTTGAATAGATGATCCAGGGAGAAGACTATATTTTTAACATTTTATTCTTTAGAATTAAATCTTGGTTCATGAAAAGCTAACATCTTTGTCACCTTTTTAGGTGCTGAATGTGGAGTAAATGCAGATGTTGAGAAACATCTTGAGTTGGGCAAGAAATTACTTGCAGCTGGACAGCTCGCTGATGCTTTATCTCAGTTTCATGCTGCTGTAGGTTTGTATCTTAGAACCACACCACTCAGGTCATGTTAGTGAATTCTAATTAATAGCTCTTTTTATAGACAACATTTAAAATGAAAAAATAATTAATTAAATAAAACTTTAAAAGCTACAGGATTCTGGGTGAAATAAATTAATAAAATAGGAGGATAACAGTTGAATGTATATGTATTTAACCTAAGAGAATTTTCTAGGTAATTGAAACTTAACCACTGTAAGTACTAAGAATAGTTCAAGTTAACTTTGGCAGAAAAAAATCTCAATGTGTTATGTAGTTTTCTGTCTTTTTAAAATAAGTTTCACTGATTACAGTGATCATCAGTACAGTAGTTAGTTACTTCGAAGCCTCTGAGGTCCTGCAGTTTTGCCTCTTCAGTGTTGGTCAAACTCCTGCTGCCTCTTAGGCTGCTATTTCTTGGTCTGTTTCTGCATTGACTATCTTTGCAGTTTTTAATCTGTTGGGACTGAGAAAGGAGAAGACCAGAATAAATATGTGCTAGAATGAGGACTTTAGTGTTTTCTTATCTGTCACTGCAACATATATATTATCTTAAAAATGATCTTGACCTATATATAGGTCAAGACTAAATACACACACACATATACACACTCTCTATTACATATGTGTATATGTAATACACATTACCTATCCCTCCACATTGTAGGTGCTGAGCAGAAACCCACCTCATCCTCTTGCTCTCTATTCAAATCCCATTGACTTCTCTAATCTCACTCTGTATTTTCTTCTTTTGCCCTATGTTCTTTATTTCTTTGCTGCTATTGTAGTTGTAGTTTCCTAAGGAGCAGAGATGCACATTAAATATATCAGTTTAATTGGAAATCTGTAATTTTCTAAAATCATGTACATGAGTTCATAAGTCTACATCCTTAATCCATATTCTCACTTAAGAAAGAACATTTTAGTGAAGACTGAATTACATATTTATACAGATTATAAATTGTATAGAATTAATGTTCTAGGCCAAAGGTTGGCAAACTTTTATTCTAAAAGATCAGAAAATTAGTATTTTTCTGTTTTTTTGATAACGCTGTGAGCTGACATTTGTTATTTTAATTTTCAGACGGTGACCCTGATAACTATCTTGCTTATTATCGGAGAGCTACTGTCTTTTTAGCTATGGGCAAATCTAAAGCAGCACTTCCTGATTTAACGAAAGTGATTGAATTGAAGATGGATTTTACTGCAGTAAGTACATCTGAAACTTTTGTTAAAGGAGAATTGAAAGGAGTCTTGAACTGATTTGTTCCTAGAGGTGAGGCCTGGCCTACTACCTGATCATCAGCTAGTGAGAGGACACAGGAAGCTACTATAATGTGGTGGACTGGGAAACGAGAATTTCAGAGTACCTGGAAGCAAAGATCTGTATAAAAGTGGAGCAGTGGGAGCGCTGAGGGATTTTGAAGTTTGGTAGTAATGTTAGCTTTTGTGCTTTGGAAAGGCAAGTCTGTGAGGAGGCTGACACACAGGGCTATAAAAAGTGACTTTGTTAAGGCCGACAGGTACTGATGACAGTTTCAATTAAGGCCATAGCAAGAAGAATAAAGAAGAGGGGCGGGCTCAGGTCAGCAGTGGTTTGAGGTGAGGATCTAGTGGAACTTCAACATAGCTTCAGAAGTGGATGACTGACAGTTCTGATGATTGGCAGGTGACTAGAATGGCCTAAAATTAATAGGACATTGTCATTCTGACTACAATGGAGTAAATATTTACAAAGCTATTTTCAGAACTTTGATTGCTGAAGTCTCAACTGACACTACCTTTTATGTGGCAAAAATTAATTTGATTTATAATTCACATACTATCACACTACCTTTTTTCAAAATGTATAATTGAGTGGTTTTTAGTATATTTAGTTTACTTACAGGATTATGGTAGCAATACTACTATGTAGTTCCAGAACATTTTATCACATCCAGGAGAAAACCCTGTGGCTATAGCAGTCTCCACCCATTTCTGTTCCAGCCCCTGACACTCATTGTCTATGGAATTGCCTGTTTTGGATATTTCATATAAGTAAAGTGGCACAATATGTGGCCTTCTACATCTGACTTCTTTCCCTTAGCATGTTTGTAGCTTCATCCTTGTGGTAGCATGTGTCAGTACTACAGTCCTTTTTGTGGTTCAACAGTATGAAACATTTACTTATTAGTAATGCGAATTTGGGTTATGCTGTTGCTGTGAACACTGATATATAAGTTTTGTGTGGGCGAATTTTCACTGTTTTTTAGTGTAGCAAAAAGTCTTTAAGGAATCATGTTCTCACAAAATTTAAACACATTTGGAGGCTCCATGGTAGTGCAGGGGTTAAAGTCTCAGTGATATCAAGCTATCACCAGCCACTATGGTATGAGTTCGATCCCTGGCCAGGGAGCTGACCCACATGTTGCAGTAGACATTTCCTGTCTCCTTAGCAGTGCTCCCCTTAGCAGTGTATTTCAGTAGAACCACCTGTTCTGTTCCTCCCACATCTCTGGCTTGCACTTTGTATGCATAAGTGAATAAATCTTTTAAAAAATTTTATACATAATCATTGGCTCTAGAAATTTTATCAAGAGTGTTAAGTGAAATGGATAGTGAAAGAATATTTTATTAATATTTCATTAGTTGGTTTAGTTTTATTCTTTGTTTAGAAAAGTTAGAGGTGCATGGCATTCAAACATATTTTATCTCTTCTCCTAGGCAAGATTACAGAGAGGTCACCTGTTGCTCAAACAAGGAAAACTTGATGAAGCAGAAGATGATTTTAAAAAAGTGGTAAGTGAAGTTCAATTTATGTTTGTTCTTATAAAGATGTTAGACATGGCACCAAAAGCTTAATCAATAGAAGAAAAAAGAATGTAAGTTAGACTTCATCAAAATTAAGTTTTGCTCTGGGAAAGGCCTTGTGAATAGGATCAAAAATCAAGTCACAAAGTGGGGGTGGAATACTACATATAGATTTTGATTCCTTAAAATTCAGACTGCTCTGGAATAAGGTCTGAAGGAAGGTGAGGGTGGAAAGCACCTGCTGCTGAAGGTGTGTCCGTACAGCACACCATCATGCAGACATTCTGCTCTTTGGTGCAGCCGAGAGAGCCAGCAGTGCTTCCCTTACCTGGTCCTTGTCCACTCTTCACATTCCTAGATATATTTGCTTCCTGGTAAGCTTTGGGGACCTCACGGTCTTTTGACTGTAGTTCCCACTGCTCTCTCGGTTGAATACAGGTACCTTTCTTGACCAGCCAGACTTGCCTGTCTCCTCACCCTTTTCCCTCTTGTGAACTTAAGTATCTGGAATGGTCAGATAATTGTATATATTAAGTATTAGACATTAGAGGCTAACATTATTTAATTTAAATCGTTATTTTTATAGCTGAAATCTAATCCAAGTGAAAATGAAGAAAAGGAAGCCCAGATCCAACTCACCAAATCTGATGAAATGCAGCGTTTGCGTTCACAGGCACTTGATGCTTTTGAAAACTCTGACTACACCGCTGCTATAACCTTCCTTGATAAGATTTTAGAGGTAGGTTTCTTAAACACTGTAATTGGAAAACCTAACACTACTTTCTACTCTAAGGCATGGGTGAGAACATTCAGCTCCTCAGTAGAAGGTAATGCTTCTGTAGAGCAAAGTTAGAAAAAGAAGTTTTCACACTTAACATGTTTGTGTGTGTGTGTGTGGGGGGGGGTGTTGTGTAATTTTTAGTCATTACTTTGCTGTTTTTATTTGATGCTACATTTTGTGGGAACAAAATTCTAGAGGTTAGATAATGGGTTAAAAGATAAAAAATTGGCTGAAGAAAAAGGAAAAATAATGTTTTGGAAGAAGGAGGACAAAGTATAGAATAAGGTGATGCTAGGTAAAAAGACACATGACAAGTTGTTAAGGTCCAGAGAGTTCTAGATAGGGAAACCTAAATCCAGAGTTTACTTGTGTCTGAAGGACTTAATTATAAATGGTTTTGGAAAGAAGTCTACTGAAATTAAAATGGAAGCAATCACTGTTCATATTTATTATCATTTCATAGCATTTTGATATAATTTCACTATAATATTAATTTTGGCAGTAAACTTGTGATAAATGCTGACATGGCACTACTTTTATAATTTTATAGAGCAAATTACAGAATTCAAGTTTTTACTAAAAAAGCATTTGCTGATGTTTTAATGAGGAAATACAAAGCTATATTTTTTAGCTTGTAGTAGGTCCATTTTGATATGGCTTATTGCCCACGATGTTTAATTTACATAGTACATTGTTGATTTTGATGTGTTGATATACATGAGCAGTTTATATAACTTATAGAACAGCTCTAGGAAACAGGTTAAGATACTCCACAGGCCTTACTGATTAACTTTTGCATTTTAATTTTGAAGAAATTAAATTGGTATGTGTTTACTAAATATTGCATGTTTAGTAAATGAATACTAAATATTCTACTTTTGATAAACAGCAATTTCATCCTCTTACTATCTTTATTTGTGATGTGAGAAGTTCACATCACACAAAAGTGACATTTTACTTTTAGTAATTATAGAATAAAAATATTTGTGGATTTAGAACTTAGATTTTATTTTTTGAGACTACAGGATTGTTAAGTAACAAATACTACTAGAATGTTTTCTTTGAAATCAAATGTACTTTACTGAAAACTGCCTTCTAGTAATAAAGCCTTTGTTTTCTTATTTTCAGAGTTTTAGAGTTACATAATTAAAGGTGCTAGGGAAAAAACCTTGTTCATATAGCGATCCCTTCTCCCATTGGAATTTATTTAAGATACCCCTGGAGAAGTTTTTTGTCACATCTGAATTGTATCAGATTTCAAAGTACTATTTACAATATAGAAGCTGTCACATCAGTTGGCATTTCATAAATATAGAGGTAAATTATATTGGAGCTAAGAATGAAAGTGCATAATTTACTGTTTCCTGAAATCCAGTTCTTCTGTTTTCAAGGTTTGTGTTTGGGATGCAGAACTGCGGGAACTTCGAGCTGAATGTTTTATAAAAGAAGGAGAACCTAGGAAAGCAATAAGTGACTTAAAAGCTGCATCAAAATTGAAGAATGATAATACTGAGGCTTTTTATAAAATCAGCATACTGTACTATCAACTAGGAGATCATGAGCTGTCCCTCAGGTCAGTTCTAGAGATAGATGCTTCGCACCATCTTTTTATTGTTCTCAGTAACAAAAACATTTTCTTTACAGTTTATAAATTAGTAAAATTGTGGTTAAGGCTGATTTTATATTATGTATCCACTTACTGTACTGCATAGTTTATTTTTATGAAATTTGCTTACTAAAATAAAAAGGAGACCTGTTTGCTGAGCAAACACTATTTGTCATTTAATTTGAATTAACTGTGCACATGGTGTAATGGTGTATTTAAAAGTGTATGGTCAATTACTATGTCAGTGTGCTTGTTAAGAACAAAAATTACCTATTGCCATTTCTGTATTTAGTATGGAAAGCTTTATCATCCATTATTTTGACTTGGAGTTTTTTCTCCTTTTAAATACATGAGCAGTGAGGTTCGTGAATGTCTTAAACTTGACCAGGATCACAAAAGGTGTTTTGCACATTATAAACAAGTGAAGAAACTCAATAAGCTGATTGAGTCAGCTGAAGAGCTCATCAGAGACGGCAGGTAAGAAAGTGCACATTAGCATTTTTGAATTTTTCAGTTCCATTTGGTTATTCTTTCTTATCTTGTTTCTTTGCTGAAGCATTACTAGCTTTTTTCTTTTGCTTTAAGCATGTTTTCATTGCTGGTGTTTTCCATGACTGCTTTAAAACTGTTGCTGAATGGATAGCAGCTCTGTCTCCTTACCATTGGAATTTATTGTCTTTTCTCATTCACTCTTCCTTTTTCTTGATGAGTGGTTTTAACTAAAGCCTAGGCATCTTCATTTTATGTTGTAAAGCTACGCTTCTTTAGTCTAAACCTGTTTTGGCTGGCCTTTTCTGACACTGTCCCAGCAGAACAGGAGGGCAGCACCTCTTCCTCCAGGTGGGGAAGAGGCTTCCCCGGGGCCTCTCTGGCATGTGTGAAAGGGGAGAGGGGAGCGTGTCACTGTTGCTGGGGACAGGGGAGAGTTTGCAGGAGTCCTTTCTGATGGTAGGTGGAAGACCTGGCTCCTGACTTGGAGTGTGGGTGCCCGCCTCACCAGGGGAGGATCCAAACTTACGCTGACCTCTTGGCATTGGTGGGGCTGGGCTGTAACTGTCTGGTATTTGCCGGAAGAGAGTTGGTGTTGTCCCAAGTTTTCTGCCTTGTGAGGCTGTTCTTTGCAGGTTGCCGGCTTCTTGGTTGCTCACCTCTCCAGCTCCAGGTCTGGGGCAGATTCTCAGAAAGAAAACCTGGGGCCTCTCCAGGCCATGTCTTTCCCAGGTGGTCGGGTTCCGAGCTGCACGCTCTTTCTCCTCCTTTTTGAGTCTTTTCGGGTTTTTAAAAATGTGTGCTGTCCAGGATATTTCATAGCACTTAACTGGGGAAACTGGGAACATATATTTATTCTGTCTTTCCAGAAACTAGCTGCTGCTGCTCTTTCTTAGGCCAAGTACATTGTTTTGGAAGTGAACTTTCATTTGGAGCTAATTGTAGTTTCAAATGCACTTGTAAGAATTGTAAGAATTAAAGTGGTCTGACTCCTCTGTGTAGTTTTATTACAGTTACTGCACCCTCTTGGAAAACTATAGAGTAACACCACAGCGAAGACTTTGACACTGATTGCTAGCTTCTGTTTTAAATTAAAACAGGTTTTAATAACCAGCATTTAAATATGAGAATTGCAGCATTTTGAAAATAACTTTCCATAGTGGCATGTAAATACTTACCTTTTAGTTTGCCGTTACTGAGGAAAGTGGCTAGTTTAAGAAAATGCTAAAGTAGCTTTTAGTGTTCTTGCAAAGTTGGTAAAGTTGGGAGCAACTTCCTTCTGCAGAGAACAATGTACTTGGTTCTGAACAGTAACACTCATATAAAACAGCATGTAAATGTGCTCCTTTTTTGATGAAGCTTTATAGTAACCAAGATACATGACTTGATTTTTGTTTTGCTGAAAATATTCTGTTCCATCTGATATTAACAAGGTATTTCACTCAATTTCAAAATTATGTTTTATATTTTTCTATAAAATATTCATCATTTCGTTTGATTGGTACTCACAGGCATGCCTTGACTTGTCTGTGCAGATTTTCTAGGGTCACAGGTTTTATCACTTAACAGTTGCAGCGTGCTTTCAGTGCCACTCTCGATTAAAAAGGTAACAGCAGTGTTTGAAGGCACTGCTTATTTACTTGAACTGATCAGCAGGCAGTGAAGAGTCAAGGACCCTTTCTCTGGTTCTGGAAATAGAATTTTACTATTACTCATTATGATTTGCTCATTTAACAGATACACAGATGCAGCCAGTAAATATGAATCTGTCATGAAAACAGAACCAAGTGTTTCTGAATATACAGTCCGTTCAAAAGAAAGGATTTGCCATTGCTTCTCGAAGGTAACAGCTGACTCGATCCTAGAAATGTAAACACTTAACATATGAAATAACAATCATAAATCCTTTTCTTGCGTTTACTTTTAGGACGAGCGGCCCGTGGAAGCTATCCGAGTGTGTTCCGAGGTCCTCCAGCTGGAGCCTGACAATGTGAATGCTCTGAAAGATCGAGCAGAGGCCTACTTGATAGAAGAGATGTACGATGAAGGTAAATCTTCAGTGGACTGATGTCCAGCTTCTTAAAAGTGATGTATATGAAATTAGTATTTCTTGTCTAGAACAAAGAGTACCTATAAATATTGACAGAGAATGTGAAAATTATTCGTCCTTATTGGAACTTGAAAGGTACACTATATGAAGCCAGAGTTTCACTCTTGAAACCAGTTCAGTGGAATACAAAAATTAAAAATGTGAGCTTTCTTTCTTGTTGATGAATTAGGAAAAATAAATAGCTAAGTAGAAAATTTCAATTGTAGCCTCTATATCACCCAGAGGTAATCACTTATGTATTTTGGCTTTATAGTTTTCAAATTTTTGTCTATATACACACACAAATATGTCTTTTATCAATATATGTATATTCGCAGATAAATGTAACATATATTATATACATATGCGGGTAATATATGCCTAAGTATAAAATGAACTGTGTCTCATGAATTGTCCAGTGCATTAGGATGGCCACTTACTCGCCTTTGCTCATGCTGAACTAACAGTTTCCTGCTAAGTGTTACAAGGATCCTGTATAAAGGCAATGGCTTGTTTTGGATGATAATGAAGGCATATACGGTGATACTCATTTTTTGAAAAATAGAATCTTTTCAGATGTATTGCTTTGTGATTTTTTTTTCCATTTGCTATATGCTATAAACATTTAAATGAGATTTTTTTCCCCCCAAAGAACCTTACTGCAAAGATTTAAAGTCAGTAAGGAATTTTATATTGCAAAGAGCATTCTTCTGGTGAACTTGGTTTGTGGTACTTTTCACTTGAATGCTTAAGTATTAAAGAGTGCGCAGCTTTTAAAATAGAATGTTTTAACATTATGCAAAAACAGTCATATTATAATTGGAAATTGTGGATAAAATTTTAAGCACAGTAAGAATGATATGCAGCAGTGGTAAAACCTGCACAAGAAGGTGGTATCTGCACCTAACATTAAGAGAGGTTGAAGGTACTCTTTAGCAAGGAAGAAGGGGGTATTTTTTTTTCCTTCTTTCCCCAGTGTGAAAAGAATTTTACTTCTCAGTGGTTGGAAGTGGTGACAGTTTTGGTTACTGCTGTTTGTGGGACATTTTTATAGTTGTCATTGAGGCTTGGAATGTCTGCAGTCAAAATGATAGGTTTTACTATTCATAAAACCTTACTATGCTTCATTGAATAAGTAATCTACAGTGGAAGGTGTCTTTAGTATGTTTCTTGTTTGCACTTTTGAGCAATGGCGTCTACTTAGTGAAGTGGCTGTGTGCTAGGTGTCAATGTTCCAGTGTGGGCCTCCACATTTCAGGTACTCCTGTCATGAGCATGAAACCCAGACCTGTGAGATTAGGGGTGCTGCAGAAGACAAAGCTTAGTTATTAAAAAAAAGATTAAATATAATTGAAAAGATGCCTTTATAAGTTGGATGCTAAAGTTAATGTTTAGGGAAACTTGACAACTTAATTCTTGAAGGAAATGATGCTTAACATTTCTTTAAAAGTTTTCTCTTTGTTTTCTTTTGGGTGTTGGGGAATTGTTCTGAATTATGGCTTTATAGGAGTTAAATTGTTTGAGTCACAGGTATGGAAATTTACTCACCTCATGGAGAGAGAATAGGTAGCTAGGCTCTAGATTTGGGGGCGAGAGTTTGGGAGAAAGCCTAGGTAGTTGAAACTGACAAGTATTACTAAGGTTTTGAATCAGAGGTTTAAATATATAAATAAGTAGTAATCTTATTAACTAGGCTAAATAATGATGATATGCTGAAATCTCGAACTGTGAAGATTTTCCTTATCCTAATTGCTGATTTTATCTTTTTAAAAATCACAAATAATAGTTGTGTCAAACGGAGTAAATGTACTAGACACTGTCAGACGAAGAGGCTAAATATCCCATATAATAATATTTGTATAGAAGTCAGTGCAATGTAAAATGATGGTAGTTATTTAATGAATAAAGAAAAACTAGGTTTATATTAGTGAATAATGGTACGGAGATTTATTAATTCTAGGGTTTAAGGCAGACTCACTAGGAAAGGTATCAGGGTGCTTACTAGAACAGGAGTCTGCCTCCTCAAGGCCTCCTGGATAAATACCCAAAAGTGAAATTTGGAATTGCTGAGTCATCTGGCAATTCTAGTTAGAGCTGTTTTGAGGAATCACTACGCTGATTTCCATAGCGACAGCACCATTTTCCATGTCTTTCCCCTCATACAGAAGGAGAAGGGTTCCAGTGTCCTCACATCCTTGTCAACACTGGCTATTTTCTATTTTGTCTTGTTTTACTGTCTTTATAATATTGGGATATGAATAGTACGTATCTCAAATACATGGTTACGAATAAGAATGCTCAGAAAATGCCTACTGCAATCAGTGCTCCTAGTAAACTTCTGAAAACATAGCCTTCCCTGTGCTCATTTTCAGGGTAGCTGTTTAGAACTTGTATTGACCCTTCTATTCAAATAGTGCCATAGGGGTAATTAGCTGTAGGTCTGACTGTGGCCAGTGCATTTACTCCATTTGACACAGCTATTGTTTTGTTATTACTTAGATCCAGAATTCTGAGAACAGGAGCCAAATAGCACTTGTTCTGGTTGAAGAGTTGGCCTGGGCAAAATTGTGAAATAAAGTTTGTCTTTGATATCCTGTGATGCTCTGTGTGCAGATTCTCATGCCTGCCTTCACATCCTAGGATCTAGCTCTGCCCTATCCCGTAAAACTGGTCTGTGTTCACAATTTATACCACCTCTCCTCGACATTATTGTGCCCTGGTTATTGCTGCAGTTCTGTATTGGCAGATGCTGGCTGTCGTTCGGGTCATGCCTAAAGCTGGCTTTATTTTGAAGACTGAATAGATACTGATGTGTTTGTACAGTGGTCCTAACCATGAGCTTAACTCTTCATAATCTGTAAGAGACTCCTGAAGCTTCCAGATCTTGAAATAGGTACATCTATCGTAGGTACAGCTAAGCTTCATCTGAGAACTTGGAAGCAGGTATTTAGGACAGAAAGATGGTTAGTCCTTTGCAAAGACTACTCGGAAGGTATTGTGTCCACAGTTGTTCAGTTCCTTTGGTTGTAAATCTCATTAGCCATGAATTCAGCCCGCATTTTTTTCACACATAGGCAGTGTAGCTACAGCTGTGTGGTCTGGATTATTTTGTGTGCGATTCTGATATTTAGAGGTTGGCATTTTCCTTCAATTTATGATTTTATTAAATTGGCAGTCTTTCTTTGGGCAGTACCTCTTAGTTTTTTGCAGTTTTGCAGAGGCTAGCATGTTTCTTACCCTTCCCTTTTCTTTTACCACTCAGTACTTATAATGAAATTCTCTCTATGTAGCTTTGCCTTATCAGTGGGTGATGTTTTATTTGAGCAAAACCCAATGGGCATCAGTAAACTTACTTTTTCATCTTCGCTCCTCTTCCATTTTTTCGTTAGCTGTGTCCACTAGCATTGTGAGAACATAGTCTATGCTGTCATTTTGTAATTCCATTTTTTTTTTAAAATCTTGAGTTCTACACTAAATACATTCAAAGTGTGGTTTCTCTTGTCTTGGCGAGTTCATCTATAGTCATTTCCTCAAGGGGTTCTTCGGAGAATTTTTTTCTTGATTTTTATGTTCAGAGTGCTTTGTACTTTTTAAATGTGAAGATTAGTTGGGCTAGATAGTAAATCCTTTTGTTCATGGTCTACCTGTGGCCATTGTTCTGTTCTTTTCTGGCACTGCATCCAGCCAAGGAGAGTCTGGATGGGGTTTTGTCTTTGGTCTGGCTGCCCACAGGGCCCTCTCCATTCACGTGTGCTCACTAGCCGAGGGGCACGCCTCAAGGTGCACCGTTCTCATTCTGTTTGCCCTGACACCTCGAGTGCCCGTTCAGCATGTAGCTTCGTCTTTGCTGGAAATTTGTTTTGTGCAGGTCTGTTGGTTTGTTTTTAGCTTTAACAACCCAGTTCTGCATCGATTGTATTCCTTTGCTTGTCATCTATAGTTGTACTTTTTTTCTCTAGGCTTTTTAAAACTATGTTTCTTTTTCTTTTTAGGTCCTAATTTTTCTCAGACTGTGGAACATGAGAAAACATAATTTAAAGTGACGTGGTGTATGTCTGTGGGAAATCTTACACCATCATATTAGGTTTCTAATTAGTTACTTAACTGTAATCATATGAATTTTGGAAACAACCTATAATTTTATAGTTCCACTATTCGTGATTTTGTATTTGTGCACTATATTGTAAAATTTTCATGACGTCACAGGGGCTGAGTGACGGTAATGCCTAAACTACGTGCAGGAGGATTAGTCTGCTGGGTTGGATGTTCAGACCCATATCCAGAGCGATTTCTTCTCCCACAAGGAAATGAATTTCCATAAAATTAGAATTTGAATCTAACAATTCACTATTTGAGTTATCTTTATAGGGAGGATATTGAGAAAAATGAATGTTGGTGCTTCCAGACTAAGAACTCCCTCAGGTTTGGTGCACACATGGGGTACAGCCAAGGTGTAGCCTAGTGAAAGGCCTCAAATGGGGAAAGGTGCACGGGCGGAGTCTTGAAGAGACCAGGAGCAGGCTCCAAGAGTCCCTCTGTGAAGCCTCCTGGGACAAGCCCACTGCTCACCTCATGTGGAGTGCTGTCTGTCATGAAAACTCCTTAGAGACTCAGTGCCCAGGGTGTTTTTTTGAGGGATGGTCAGGAAGGCACCTTTTGCCAAGCCTGTATCAAACTCTAGACTCCTAGAAAGGAAGAAGTTCAGTGTAGACCACATTCCTTTCAAAGACAGTTCAGGTACAGTGAGCCATTCTCATCAGGGAATGTTGGGAATCCTCCAGAAAGCCAATTTCCTAGTTGCCAGCAAGGGGCAACTTTGCCAGCAGACCTTCCTACAATAGTGACTTCAGGCCTGCTTTTCACACAGTATTATTATAACAGATAACTAGATGCCTTGTACTTTCTGAATATTTACAATAGCTAGAAATAAAGAAAAAATGTAATGTGGATTGTCATCAGACTTGGTACCATTCCCCAACTGTGTTTTCTGCTTTGAGTGACACTTTAATCAGGCTTGTTACAGTTTGTATTGAACCTGTAGGGGTGACTTAGTCATTCTGGTTGTTGACAGTTTTTCTGCCTCTTTCTAAGTTTCCCATTATTCTAAACTATTGATCTGTAGCTGACCAAGCTACAGATCAAGCTTTTTTACACCCTTTTGTTTTCTACGTAACAGTCACTTCAGCCTTAGTGATGGTATGATTGTTTTGTACGAAATGCATGGGGAGGACAGCCTGGAGTGCGTCGGGCCACCAGCAGTGAACTGTTGAGTAGCAGGGGTGCAGCTGCCTAAACTGCACCTTAATCATGCCTTGTCTAAGTCGTGAACAGAATGATTCAGGTGTCATCACTTCTTTGGCTTCTAGTAGTGGCACAGGAATGGAGGGGCTGGGAATGACAGCTTTGTGTCAGTTTTGTAGAATGGTGAAAATCAAGAATTCCTTTTAACAGCATTATCTTAAACATATTTTGGCAGCTATTCAGGATTATGAAACCGCTCAGGAACACAATGAAAATGACCAGCAGATTCGGGAAGGTCTAGAAAAGGCACAAAGACTGCTGAAACAGTCACAGAAACGGGATTACTATAAGATCTTGGGAGTAAAAAGGTGAATGTAAGACCTGCGTTATATTTGATCTGCTCTTACCATTTTTTGATTCATTTCCTTTATATATACATTCAAAGGCTATGAGAGTTCAAAGCAGTTTTGAATGCTACAGATTAATGTCCCTGACAGAGGCCAGGAATGTGACAGCTGTGGCGCTGTAGCATGTATAGGCCCTCGGCCCCAGGAGGGGGGCAGAGGTAGGGATGAGCCCCCCCGGGCGGAGTCAGGGGAGGGGTTAAAGGAAAACTTCTGAAGGCTGAGAGTAAGACGCTAATAAAGTTCACTTGCCGGCACTGAGAGACCTATGATGTACTCAGTGTGAGCTTCAAATAGATCTCCTTGCCTCAACAGGGAAATTATCTTTTAGTCAAAAAACTGGAAAACTGAAACATGTTTTTACTAAGCTAATCCAGAAGAATGAGAGGGGGGGGGTTCAAAAGAACTCTTTATAATGTCAAACACTGAATCTTGGTAGCTTGAACATTCAGAGTTTCGGAGTGGATCTGTGTGGAGTTCAGGGGCAAGCTGTACTGAGCAGGGGCACTGCAGCCCCTGCGGAGGTAGCAGCCCAGGTCTGAGGGTGCCTGCGCGGCCTCATTGACATCCCAGCTGCATGTCACACGCTCCTGGGAGCGACCAGGGGCCCTAGTAGGAAAGCTGGTCAGTTATTTGCCATTAGGGTCTCAATTGGCTCTTGCAGTTTTCATAGCAATGTGTTGGATTCTTGTTAACAACTAATGATTGTTAATTAATCACCCCTTCAGAAATGCCAAAAAGCAAGAAATCATTAAAGCATATCGAAAATTAGCACTGCAATGGCACCCAGATAACTTTCAGAATGAAGAAGAAAAGAAAAAAGCTGAGAAAAAGTTCATTGACATAGCAGCTGCTAAAGAAGTCCTCTCTGATCCAGGTATCACTTGCTTTCCATGTTTCCTGCCCTGTTGTCTCTATTTCTTTGCTGTCTTTGAGGTGAGGAGGAGTGGAGGGCGATGTGGGTAGGGCTGGGACTGGGCCTGACCTTGCAGTTTCCAGGTTGCTTTACATCCAGCCCTGTGCTCTGTCAGAGTCTGGGGTCGTCACATGTGGGGTGCAGTGGAAAGAACATCAAATGTGGAACCAGAGTGTTTCAATCTTCTGTCCATACTTGAATGTTACTAGAACTCTTTTGACGTCATTTTTTTCCACGCGTGATATGAAAACACGAGAGCGCTGGCATCTCTTAGGCTTCTCCAGTGTCACAGACCAGGGCAGCTTCCTTAGACCGAGCTTACCAGACTTACCTAGGCCCCAGGCTGCCGTGCTGGCGGCGCAGCCATGGAGAAGAACACGTACTGCCAGCACCCCGCTGCGTCCTTGAAGTCCAGGGATCGTTAGGCTTTCTGGTTTCTGTGTGTGTTCTTTGATCATATGTTAATCATAGGCTGGAAAGTGGCCTTGAAAATAAGAGGGAAACAAGCTGTGAGTTCATGTAATATTGAATAATGCTTTAGCATTTTCAGAGGGAATTCGACATTGTGTTAATACTTACGCTTTTCTGTGGCTTTCTGTGTCAGGGAGCACAGAGGCTGTGACTTGGATTAGACAGGCTCATCCAAAATAGGAGCGGGTGTTTTTAAACACCTATTAAGGCTGTGAAATTGAGGTCAAATGACCGCTTGTTTGCAAGTGTTTACAGTCCAGTAATGGGGACAGACTGTCTGAGTACAGCAGGGGCCTCCCGTTTTTCTATAGCAAATATCTAGTCCTGGGATGGTTCTGCGCTCCTTAGCTGCAGTGCCAGGGTAGCATCAGATTCCATAGGGGTGGAGGACTCTGGAGCTGGGGTGACCGGGAGCTGGACTGACAGTTACAACGGCATGCGGCAAGATTAATTACTGTCTTTTGCTTACACTTCCATTTTCTTAGCCCTGGTGTTATTTTAAGGATAAAATGACCTTTCTCAGCCCTCTGAGGCTGCTAGCTTATTACTCTTGTTTCTTCCTCCCATTTGTCTGCAGTGGTCTGTCTCATTGGGGATTTTCTCAGGGGTGTCAGGCACAGCTGCAGAGGGGTCTCACGCTCCTTGGTCTGAGAGGCTTTAGTTCACTTCAGATCCACAGTGAACACAGCACCGCCACGCCGCGCAGATGCTTGTGGGTTGCTGAGGTGTCTCCCTAGCTGGCTTTGTGCAGGGCAGATTTGCTCGGAAAAGCATGATGCATGGAGGCCTCACTTTGGAACTACTTACATGGTTCCAGGAAGAATTTCCTTGGTAAGTTTCTTGCGAAGAGAAAAGATTTAGGCAAGTTGAATGTCAACGAATTCAGTTTGCCAGCTCACTTGACAGCTCTCAGCCATCTCTGTGACTAGTTCTTCTCTGTTCTGTTGCACCTAAGGCTGGAGCTTGGCTTGGGTGGTATGGGAACGCCTCGATTTGAGTACCCAGGACCGCTGTTTTGATAACTGAAAAGTAGTCTATCCCCTCCCTGGTCAGTAGCTGTATTTAATTTGCTGGTTTCTTTTTACAGAAATGAGAAAGAAGTTTGATGATGGAGAAGACCCCCTGGATGCAGAGAGCCAGCAAGGAGGAGGCGGCAACCCTTTCCACAGAAGCTGGAACTCATGGCAAGGGTTCAATCCCTTCAGTTCAGGCGGACCTTTCAGATTTAAGTTCCACTTCAATTAAACCAACTGTTCTGCTCTTCTTTATTTTTTTCTAAAGATTAAAAACAAAGAAACCTTGTTCCAGGACCCTAACGAAAAAAAAGTCTTCAAATTTTTCAGTTTGTCCATGACCAAAGAGTTGTTTTCATCGGAGAAATCTGTTCTTAATCCATTTTAGACTTGAGGTTGATGGGCTTGCCAGGGCAGGGAGGTGAGGAGTGGTTCTAGTTCTGACCGAGTGGCCTGTGTCTAGCTCGTGACCGCCAGAGGCTGCAGTCTGAGGCAGGCCCACCTGTGGAAGTGCGCTCACCCCCGTCCGCACTGAAGCGCGCAGCAGCAGTTCTCTCCACACCTCGCGCGTGCTGGTGCCTGCCTGTGTGTAAGGGGAGCCGTGGCCTTCGTGAGGCCGGCACAATGTTAACATTTTGGACAGCTTTGCTTAGATTTTGGTCAGTCCAAAGTCACCTGCATAAACACCTATTTCAGAGCCTCCTTTACCGGCGTGTGTCCCATCTGTCCACCGGCACGAACCTGTGAGGCAGAGAGCTCACCTTTTAAGAAGTCTGCTGCGGAGGGCTGGTGAAAACAGGCCTCTATTCTGTGTTGTTGTATTTTTCTGTTCCTTACAAGAGAATACTGAAAATCACTGAGAAAACTGGGCCTTTTTGCTTAATAAGAAACAGCAATGAAATAATAGATAAGTACTACTAAAAATGACTGTCGGTGGTAATACTGCTGAAGTGCAGGTTTGAATACTTTCCGCCGAAGCTGTGGCTAAGCAGAGCTTCCTGTAACAGGACCAGCTTAGAAATGTAATGCTGCTCAGTCAACAAAGAGGACCCGCTTCCCAGTTTCAGTAACTGCAGGGGGCGCTTCCCTCCCCCCGGCCCTGCCCTAGGCCTGCAGTGACTCACGAGGGGGCACCTGTCTGAGGTGGGTGAGGCAGCATCCCTGCATCTTCACCAGACCTGTAGGCCTCTGGAAGTTCTTCTGCAGAGAATAAAAACCAGGTTTACAAATCTGTCAGCTCTGGCTAGACACCTTTTTATCTTCTAAGAAATGAACTAGCCAGTCTTTGTATACTGAATAATTTTTTCCCTAAAAGAATGAGTGTTACTTTCATCAAGAACATGAAATCTTTATGGAACTATTGATGCTGCATTTAAAACCTAAGAGAATTACTTTAGAGAAGAATTATTATACCTTTATTCTGGAAAGGTTTTTGTTTCTGCCTCAGCAGTTTCAAGCATTTAAAGTAGTGTGAGTTTAATATATTGTTTTCACGAAATCAAGAACTTTAATTTTAGCAATGGGAGGACTCCAGATTACTAATGTCCATAACAGCCAAGCACAACTCGTTTTCTTCTAGTCATTCTGAAGCGTAGTTTTTTTAAAACATAGGAAAAAAAATTAACTGAGGAAAAAATTACATAGTTGAGCAAAACCACATGCTTTTGCATCTGTTTCTTACCAATAAATTTCACAGAGCATCTCAAAAATGAAGTGAACAGCTTGCAGCTTTCATTTTGTTTTAATGTCTAAATTTAAGCCGTTTTAGCTAGTATGACTATCAAAGTCACAAGATTACTTTTTTCAATCTGGTTCTTTTGTGTGAGTGTCACTGTGACCTCTTTGAAAACTAGTGATGGCCTCTACCCACGTGGGAAAGTGAGTTTTCACTCAGACTCAGAAAAAGATGTCCCTCCAACTGCCCTGCTATTCTGAGGCGAGGATAAGTTGCTACCAGGAGCCAGCGGGGGCCGGGCCGGTGAGGTGGGGCTGCAGGAAGATGAGTCTGGGCACCCCCCCCTTGCTGCGGCCCGGGTGCCAGGTGGTCTCCGCTGTGACCGCCACACCTGTCCCTGGAGTCTTGCCAGGGTTTGATTTAGTCACTGCAACTGAAACATGTCGAGTTCCTGTCTTTGCAGTGAGGGAGAGGAGAGAAGCAATGGTGCCAAGTGCCAACATCACTGCCGAGAGCTCTCTGGAATCTGTCGTTTTGCTTGGTAATGAAGAAAACACCACTCTGGTTTCCATTATTGACCATCAGCAGCCTTGTGGTCTCCGCACAAATGGACGGACAGCCCCTTGATGCTTGTCATGACAGTGAGCCCTAGGTGTGGAGGGCTGGGACAGTCATGCTCCTGCAGGCCTGAGGTAGACCACCCTGCAGTAGAGAGCCGAGGCCTGGGGCTGGGCTGCTTCCACGCTCAAGGCCTGTTCCTGGCACTGCAGATGCCTGGTAACTTTCTAGAAGAGTAAAATCTGAGGGTACCTAGCCCTGTAGCTCTGTCTGATTCCTGCCTTCCTTTTTGGTGAGGTCCCAGAGAGAGGTATTGCTGGCCAGTATTTTGTGGGTATTTTCCACATTGGCAGGTATTAAACACATAGCCTGTAAAGGTGAAGTTAGAAAAGGGGGAGAATAAATTTATTGCCCAATTTTGAAAGGTCATGTTTTCTTACCATGGATAAATGAAAATTTGAAAATTTTCAACTTCAACAGTTTACTAATGTGGCTTGGATGTGACATAATACTAATTTTAAGACATCTTTAGTCAGTATTCAATGTTTATTGTAAATACCAGTATGAAACCAACTTTTGGGGACTCTGATAATAGTAAAAACTACCCATAGTTTGTTTTAAGAGAAAAATACCATTGATAACCAAGAAGGGCAAAAAGCTAACAGATTCACAACTTGAAATTGGTACTATTTTCTATTCATGGTGGAAAATGAAAGTTTCACCTAGAAGGCATGAAATTGGTCAGAACTTGTATGTGACATTTACCATGAAAAAAATGTGTAAGATGTGTTAAGGTTAAGGTACAGGGCTACAGTGATGCCATACAAAAAGTTAACATGTTATTCATGCAACTTTGTTGAATGTAGCTGACGTTTCTGCTTTTCTGAAGGCAGGAGGAAGGCAAGTGCTGGTTTGTCAACAAACGGTACCCTTATTCTAGTCAGATAATTCCTTTTTGTTCATAGCAGAGTTTATTCTGTAATTAATGGGGGCAATTTTTTTCAATGGATGATCTCATTTGCTGAATGATTACAAGTAAAACTAGCCACTGAGTGGCTTTGTGTATAGTAATAGGTCTTCTCGCACTCACTGTGCGTGAGCCTCTTACCGGCAGTGGAAAGCAGAACAGAGGAGGTGAAATGGAGCTGTCTGAAAAGTAACATTTACTCCTCCTGTAAGGCTAAAGCTGGTTTTGAATGAGATAAAACTAAGTAATTTAATCCATCTCAATTTAGCATTTTAATAAAAGAAAAAGGAACTGAAAATTAATTGAAAATGGGTATTAGAAATGTCTACAAATATGGGTACTATTTTTATGCCCATGTATTTTCACATTTAATAAAAATATTTATGGTCAAACCAGTATTTTGTTTTTAATTCGCTTTTAGTCTTGGAGAATTCTATGTTCCCAGCTTTGCTTCATACATAATTATAATGAGGTGATGATAAAGGCTCCTCCCTGCAAGCTGAAGGAAGAACAGAGCATAAAAATGCAGAAATGGCTGAAATCTTTGTGTACGAAAACGCCAGCTAAGCTTTTAAAACGTGGACAGTTTTTCAATTTCATTGCAACTAAAGTAACACACTGACTTTGGTAACAGACCCTAATTCCACATTTCTATTTTGTGGGTAAGTGGGGGCTGCCTAGCTCAATCCAATTTCGCACGCACTAACGTAGCTTTAGTCTCAGTTATACATCTTACATATCCTAAGATGAAAGGACTGCCAGAACACGTTATTTTTTCTAGAAAGTCTCCAACTTCTTAAAAATTACAATGTCTTTGCAGTGTATAAGCCATGAGTAAGAAGAAAAATACCTGTGACAGACATGAGGGCTGCCAGGAGTACAGGGAGAAAGGAAACATCCAGCTTCTCGTCCAGATCCTCAGGAATTCTGAGAAAGCAGTAACCTCTCCTTCCCTCAGTTTAACCTGTAAAACAAATCCAGTGGTTTCATCTTAAAGTATACAGTTCATCAGACTGACTCGGCCCTTCATCTGACTAATGCTTCCTCAGGAGATACTCGGCTGAAACACAGTATCACACCATGCAAGGGCAGTTTACAGGGAGAGGTGTCACTGGCTTAAACATCTCGGCCACTGAGCGGTGGGTTTGGGCGGACCACAGGAAGTTCCCAGGTCTGATGAAGTTGGAATGAACCCATTAGGAAGCAGGGGAGACCAGTTATCTTGCAGGATTTTGTAGTCATTTTAAACTCTTCCATCTTTTTGGTATTTGCATATTTCCGTTATTTCAGGAGATGACGGCTTTCCCTGCACCTGGTGTCATCTGTGTGATGACAGCACTGTCACTGGCTATTCATTTACTACCATTTACAGAGATTTAGTAACTAAGATGACTTACTGTGTCGTCACCCTTATTCAGAGGAAAGCTTTTAGAAAATTTTTTTTTTTCCTGGTGGAAGAACAACAGGGAAAAGGTTACGTATCAGTAATAGCTTTGATAACTTTGCATGTAAAGGAGTTTGCATACGATGATCTGAGAGACATTCTACACTGTATAACCAGTTTTGTTTATTTAAAAATCCACGTTATGGGGCCCTCCCTGTGGCACACCAGGTTAAAGCACAGCATTACACAGCTGGCTGCAGCCACTTCAGCACGAGTTTGAACGCCAGCCAGGAAAGGGACCCACATGGTGTGGCAGACCTCTCCTGGCTCACATGCTGCTCTGCTCAGCAGTGTGCTTCATTCACCTACCTGTTCAGTTCCCCACTTTGGCTCTGGTGAATCCTCTCGCCGCCCCTGTGCATCTGGCCTGTACCCCAGTTCTATATATATATAAATAAATAAATCCTAAAAGAAAGAATCCATGTTATGAGACAGACACCACAATCATTCCTCTCTCCCTTAAATTTAAACACAAAGGTGACCTGGAGTCTACATTTGAAATGTTTTTTCCAGTCATAAAGTCTTCCCTCAGTTATAATCTTAAAATGAAATTTCACCAGGCAGTAGAAAAATCTCTCCAGAGCTAGACAGGTGCACGTGACTGGAGTAAACTCAAGTTAATTGTAAGTTGCAGGGATGAGATTACCTTTCACATCCGAAATTTTTCAACAAGGATATTAACAGTAGAATGAGTCAGGAAGCTTGACTCGAGAATTTCTCAGAAAATGGAAGTCTGTATTGATGAACGTGTCTAATGAGCTGCAGAGTGGAGAGCAGCTGCTCCCGTCACTGTCCCAACAGCCAGGCGGGTCGTGTGCCTCACCACACACTGAGTCACAGAACAGTGAGGATGACTTCGGCCATAAATGCTGGGACACACACATCTTCCTCCCTCACTTTAAGACCAAAGGTAACAATTTAACAAATCAAATGGTTGGTTGTTTTGCAGAGAACTGGGGTGCGGGCCAGAGGTGCAGAGGGATGAGAGGATTCACCAGAGACAAGAGTGGGGTGCAGAATAGGCAGATCGACTGAAATTGCTGAGGGAGCAGCGGGGAGACAGGTCTGCTGTGCCCCGTGGGTCAGCTCCCTGGCCAGGGACAGAGTGCAGGCCATCGAGGTGACAGCTCTTGAGACACGCCCTCGGCCACCAGGGAGGCCCTCAAATGGTTCTTCAGAAGTGAGTGGCCTCCCTTGTCTACCAAGTCAAGCAACAGGTGGGCAGGGTGGGGCTGACAGTCCCCTGGACTCCGCACGTCGAGCCTGCCCCCGCTAGCACCTTCCCTTTGCTCTGGAGCCAGGAGTTAAGAGTGACCAGTGACTGGTCTTACTGGTTCTCAAAGGAAACGAAATGTCACCAATTTTTTGACTCCTATAGCTCAGAAATCAAGACTGTCTGTGTCATGCTAGGGTCACTGAAGGCTTTTCAGATTTACCTACTGGGGCTAACACCACTCTGCCAGGCTCTGACGTCTCTTATGACAGTGGCAAATTCCTGTGTGGTTGCTCCCCGTGAGCCGGGCGAGGGGCTGCCCTTGGAAAGCATCCCTTTCTCTGGACAGACTCCCTCCCACTTGCTTCAAACCACGCCTTGTGCTTGAAAATATTAAGCCTGGAATGGCAGGCTGACTGACCTTCCTGTGGTGCTTTCTGGGAGTGCACTGTCCTCTGAGCTCGGGGCGGGAGAAGCGTGGGCACAAAGTCTCGCCTTGTTACGTGAGCGTGAGTGGCAGGAAGATGACTGTCTTCAGTCTCATATTCTGGGTTTACCTTATACCTAAAGCTTACATGTCTCTACAGTTAAATTTAAAATCTCCCAACACGCAGATAAACTCTTCTGACAATTTGCTCCAAGAAGAGGAAAGAGTACATATAACTTTTCCATTAGAAAATAAGGTGTTTCCTTTCTCACAGGATTTGGTTTTTCTTAATCTCTGATGTGGGGCCTGTACCTAAAGACCAGGATTCAGACTCTGGAATGTCTGTACAAGCCCTCAGCTTAATTTGGCACCCAGCCCCAGAGCTGGGACTGTCCCTGTGTGCTGACACAGGCAGCTCCTGTACTCTGTCCCTGAGAGGACAAGGTTCTGTGCGGCACAGCGGCTCACATCCTTCTGAAATAAAAGAATTTTCAATGAAACAGCAAACTTTAAAATGTTCCAGACTTTCTCTGTAAAGAAACATCTTCTTTACCGATCTGTATTTTCCGACATAAGGTATCATTCACCCAGAGACGACACATACAGATTTAGTCATTCAATTCACAAGAGACAGGCTGGGGGCGAGGCACCAAGACCCTTCATGCTGTCAGCTCACTGCGCACCAGAGACAGCAGTTGCTGGGGATACCAGTAGCTGGTCCTTTTCCCCACAAGATTCTTACAGATGTGAGAACAGAAGCTGATTACAAAAGAAAGCAAAGTTCCACCACACAGTTAGTTGAAGCTTCCCCCAGACTCCCGTGAGCTGGGCTGGCATGTCTGGCTAAGCCAGATGCGTTAGACTCTCTCACCAAGTGAGCCCGGGAGTAGCAGGATAGGCCTGTGTTGTCATGTAAAGAAGGAAGGGAATTGTCCAGAAGAGCTAAAGGAGCCAGACAACCTCCAGTGCACCGGCACTGTGGGGCTGCTGATGGGGCAGTTGTACCCAGGGACAGGCAGTTCCTCACAGGGGCCTTCACCATGGCCTGAGGCTTAGCCTCACCTGATGGGGCTGGCGAGGGGGCTGGCACATCAGCTGGGCACTAAGTTCTAGGAAGTGTTCTCCAAACCTCACTCATCAACAGAAACTCCTGAACAACTTTTAAACCATCACGATTTCTTGTGGTCACCTCAGGCCCACTGAGTCCGTTTCTTCAGGGCACGGGGCCCAAATGACACCGGGGTCTCCCCCAATCCCAGGTGCTATGTTTCCAGAAGAGCTGGATAATTTTGAACACTTAATTTTCCTATTTATCTATTACTAATCCATAACAGGAAAACAAACTGTTTATGTTCTCAGTTTCTATATAAAAGTAGCCAGTTCTTTTTTTTTTTTGTAAAGAATACATACATGTGCTCAAAACCCACAAGTATCATTTTATGAAATAAAAACTTTAAAAATTTTACAAATACAGAACAGGATTGAAACATCAGATATTTTATGATAAATGATCATAGTGTGACACCATTTACATTTTGAAACAGTAGTTAAAGTGCCCTCAGTTTATTTTACTAGTCAGAGATAACAAGTCTTTCTTTCTCAGCAGAAATTTCATGAGTTTCCTCAAATTTTGAACTGCTTTGTGAGTAAGGAAACCTGGATGTAGACAGCTGTGATACAGGGTATAGACAGGGCGACCCGGAGGCCTCGCCAGTCGGACCCCAGCTAGTTCACAGTCTTGGCGAAACAGCTTTCACTGCTACAACGGGCTTTTTTTTTAAATAATATAATAGTTTATCCAACGGGCATTTTAAGCAATAAAGGAAAAATATAGTTTTTAAGACTCACTGTAACTCACTTATATAATTTAAACTTACTCAGTTCTTTAAATATATGTATTTTTAAGTAACTTTTTTTAAACAGAGGAATGTCACTGATCTTAAACGAAACTTCCAAGTCTCAGTCGTCTTCCAAAGTAGCAGTTCCACACATTGCCAACAGGTGGCAGATTCTCATCCCACTTTCATCTTCACACAGGTCAGTGCTAGAGTTCATCATGGGTCAAAACTATGGGAGAGAAAGTTTATTTAGTTCTTAATTATGGCATAAGCTTCCATTTCACAGAAACCTGCAATTACGGAGAGGCTGGCTGAGGATCCCTCTGTTAGTTGGTCTTGTGCCTCTGTCATTCATTATGTGATATGAAAATAGTTCTCTGTATGCTGTTATCCACAATTCTGAATCATAGCTGTGGTTGTATCCACCTTGAAAGGCACACTATGAGGATAGTGTCACATTTCATTCATCCTTGTTATCTCTAGGACTAGTCTCTAGCAGCAGAGAACTTAAAAACCTGACCAGACTACTAGCCACATAGAAAGTATTGTTAGTGTAATGGCAGAAATAGCAGAAGACACCAATGGGTCTTTCCTAAGCGCTTCTGCGTGCTCATCAAGCGTTCAGGCATGGACAGAAGTACAATACAATGCAAGAACCACTGCTGGTGAAGATGCAAGAGGCCAAGATGGTTTCGTTCCCTTCTGTACCTTTGAATTGCCACATATGAAGTGATTTAAGACAACTGAGAAAATCACATCTTCAGGTCGAGATTAATTAAAATGAATCCTGTCCCATAATTCAAGATGGTAAATTATATTTCTCTATTCACTAAATTCTACTTGCAAGATAATAAAAGGAGTAACAATAGCAAGTTTACATATAATTATTTCAGCTTCCCTAAAACAATTCTGAGGACAATAAGAATTAGACTCTTACTACTGGGAAGTATTATTCTGAGGATTAACTAGTATAACTTGTGAGTGTCTCTGACACACTACTAAGTAGAATACAATAGCAGTGCAGCTACTTTTATTAAAAAGGTAAAGAATAATTAGGAGGGAGAGGCACTGATGAGGGAATGATGAGACAGTCAAGAAATTTATGTCAACATTAAAAGAAAATGAAAAGAATTTAACTATTGAAGATTTATGTAGGGTTATAAAATGCCAAGGCAAGTTCTGTTTCTTTTTTAAGATTCAGTTATTTATGCTTACAGAACTGGGGTACAGGCTAGAGGTGTGGTGGGTGAGCGGCTTCACCAGAGACAGAGTGGGGAGCAGAACAGGTAGACTGACAAAGTACTCTGCTGAGGGGAGCAGCGGGCAGGTCAGGAGAGGTCTGCCACGCCACGTGGGTCACACCTCCCTGGCCAGGGGTGGAACTCGTGCTGCGGTGGCTTCGGAGAGCTTCATAATGTGATGCTTTAACCCACTGTGCCACCAGGGAGAGCCCCTGCTTTTTATTTTAATGTAAGGAATTGAAGCACATCTATTCCACGTTAGCACCCAGCCATCACTGAGGGAAACCCGGGGAAATGACTGATCTACGTGAGTGGAGTTTAGCAGACCCTAGGTAATGCTTTGGTCAGGTAAAGCTTTGGCTAAGTTTTAGGGCTTAGAGTTTCACATTTGGTAATTTCAGTATGATCTTAAAGGTAAACACAAATTATTTTTAGCCTTGTCTTGCATCCCGAGACGAATGCTCTCCTCTGTGGTGTTGCTCACCCGTGTGGCGAGAGCAAGGGCAGCGAGTATAGGAACAGATTCTCTCTGTGCGTCGCACATGTGTGAGCTTAGCCCACATAAAATTCTTCATAAAATCCTTACCATCTTAAACTATGTGCAGAAATTCTGTGCTCACATGAACACGCGAGCTCACTGGGCTCTGTAAGCATCTGTAAAGTATTCTACCTCACACAGTGCTTGCACAGGACTTACTTTCATTTTTCTTCACTTTTCCAAGATGCTCTAGTAGTTGTCGTATCTCAGTGTCATATTCCACCCATTCTGGGACAATTCTGGCAGCAGCTTTCAGTTTGGGTTCTTTTGTTTTGGGATTATTGCACTAAAATGTAAAATAAAGTTTTGTTAATGAAAAACATGCACCAGGAAATGTAAAGGACATATGTAATGGCGCGGCCGTGTCATTAAGCAAAAAGTGTATTTTGTAAAAAGTAGAGCCCTAAAAACTAAGAACTTGAAATACTGGGCTTAGTTTAATAGGGGAAGGACAAAGTAAATGACCTAGTGTATCTTACATACAAAGTAAGGGTTTTCATAAATACCTCAATCAGAAATTTGAAAAAAAAAAAATGGTTTGAAGACACCCTGATAAAGCATTAAGACATGTATCCAATACTTCTGTTAGATATTTTGATAAAAATCTAAGTATATGACCATTCTGCAAAAGAACGCAGCAGACTATATTAAGTATTTTCTTTGGACTAAAAATCTGCTGTTATATACTGTGTTTTCCATAGACAAAACCATTTGCTTAGATATAGCTTGGGTTTTCTTTTTCTTTCTTTTCTTTTTTTTTTAGGAAAACATTCATTCCTCTGTAAATGCCTCTTTTCTGGTCAGCAATTGTAATGGATTAAAAGTCAGTTAGTAGAATTTATTTTTGTGAATACTGATAGGTGTGTCCGCAAATCTCCACATCTAAAAATCTTCAACTAGCTGGCCAAACAGGCACAGTGGAGAAACAGGAGTGGGTCCTTGGCAGCCCCAGTTCCAGCTCTGACTTACTAGTAGTTAAGACCTGTACGTGTAACTCTGCGTAGAAGCTTCATCTGTAAAGGAGGAGATTATTCCAAGGTTCCACTAACATAGGATCAATTTAAAATACTCAGCAGTTGGCCCTACTAGAGGTTCCTGGGAAATTAAATAAAGGTTAAAAAGCCAAAACTGTAAAAGTTTGAGATTGAGCTAATTCTGGATGTATTTGAATATAGCTGGCAAGATTTAAAATGGGTGGATGTGGATTGTGAAAAATGAAAGCAGTTAAAGCAGACTCCCGAGTCTCTGGCTTGAGCGACATAAAGACCAGAGACGCCACAGACTGAGGTGGGAAGGACAGGGGCGGGATCTTCACAAGTTCCATGCAGTAACCGAGGAAGCCTCCTGGATTCACACGTGGGACATTTTCTCCTGGTTGTAGCAACTTGGCTTTTTTCTTTTAATACCTGACAGCAAAGCTACTCATTCTGAGCCATGAGCTTGCTGTCTTAATTTTTCCTCATAAAATATTTTAGTTCATTCTACTGTTTTTCCCCCTATAAAAATGTACTCCCGGGGCAGGCAGAAAATAGGTTTTTCTTTGCAGAAATAATATTTACGGCCAATCTATTCTATAAAGTGAAGACAGAGTAACTATTTTTTTTTGTGACAAACTATTAAAATTAAAAAAACTGTTTTCTTTTGTCTTTCCTTGACTTGTAAATGGCCACCATCTTCCTCTGTCTTTTCATATTGTCTCACCTCTGCACAAGACCCTCCGACTTCCTTTTCACGTGCTCCCTCAGTGGCACGCAGACAGCGGCACCCCTCTTAGGGGAGTCCTTGGCAGCACCAGGAGTTTCAAGTGCTATGACTGGGGGGGGGGGGGGGCTGCTACTGCCATCTACTGGGCAGAAAGCAGATCTGCTGCTAAGCCATTTTACCACACACAAAGACAAAGGAAATCTTGCCAGCTATGCTGGACCATGGGCGGTACCTCCAGGTCATGAAACAGTGGTTGAAACAAAGAACTGAGACAGCACACAACATGCGCAGCCATTCATGAGCGCTCTCATTCTCACCTTTAATCCCACTAGTCCATGTTTCCTCTCCATTACGCCATTTCCACTGGATCTGTCTATTCCCTTAACTTCCCCTCTGAAAAGCTGGCCCAAAATAGCATGTGACCACATTTTTATTTGAGGTGCTTCAATGGGAGAAAGGGGTAGGCTGTCCATCAGAATGGACCCGCTTGCCCTCTCCGCGTAGACCTGCTGCTGGGAAGCAGCTGTCCATGGGAAGGACATTCCTAGGCAGCAGACGCCTCTAGAGGCAGCCGCCTGGCCAACTGCCATTTTTCCCTCCATGTCAACATGATCACCAGGAATGTGGTAGAAACTACATATCTAAACTAAAAAATTTCCAGGAACCACATATAAATATGTAAAAGGAACAGCTGAAATAAAACTTTATACTATAGTTTAACAGAATACATCCTAAATATTTTCAGTTGGTAAACAATCAATGTAAGTCCTAGACAGTTGGGTCAACAAATTAGTCTGAAATATTTCATGTCCAGGAGAGTTAAACTGTGTAGCAGAGTAAGCTGCTTAAAATGAAACTCTGAGAAAGATAGTTCTTAAAAATAATAAGGATGAAAAGTAGGATAACTTAAGTAGATACAGACTTGTCTTGGTTTTCCTTATTTAGGAAAAAATATTGGCAGGAGACCTAAACTAACAAGATAGCAGTAAACAATGACTATTTCAGCCAATTTCTGGGTCGTTCCTTCAAAAGTCCTTGTGGCAAAAAGCATCACACAGCAGGCCCTAGAGGGCTGTTTTCAGAAAGGCCTGCCCACAACTTGGTGCTGGGCTGGCTCGGGGACTGGGCTTCAGGCCTTCAGGCCTGTTCCCACCAAGATCGGCTTACTTTCGCGATGCAAACAATATGGGTTACAGTTATGCTAAACCCGCCTTTCTTCTGGATGCTGCGACTCTGGACAGGCACCAGGCGAGGGGGTGTCTGTGTGGCCCCCAGCAGGTACACTGGGCACTGGCTTTCCAGTTAGCTTCCCCGGCAGATACCATTGCACATGCTGAGTGGAGCTGGCTGTGGCGTAAGGAATTCAGCTTGTCTTGTGCAATTCACAGGAAGAGGACTCTTGGAAGCTCACACTCGGGAATCTGTGGTCTTCACCCCATGTGCCTTCCCCTGCTGCTGAAACCTTGTACTCAGCAAGTGACAACTAGGAGTGTGACTGGATCCCGAATCCTCTCACTGAGTCATCATAGCTGAGCAGGGCGCTGGGGGCCCTGCCTCCGCCCTCTTCTCGCCAGCCTCAGTCAACAGCGAGTAAGAGTGTGAGCAGCAGTCGCCGCTGTTTGTGGAAGGGAGACATTTCCATGTGAACACATCATATCTGCCCATCTACATGTGAAACAGACCCACCAGATCAATTGTTTTGGCTCTCTGCTTGGATTCATCATCGCACCAGGTTTCACACCACAGCCAGTCTTGAGGAAGAGACTTAATGGCAACTTGGTAAATCATATTATTGGGGAGATCCTACAGGAAAAACATGATTTAAACACAGATATAAAACCAGAATCCAAGCAAAATAAGTCATTTAAATTCTATGCTGATCCTAAAAAAAATACAAGGTCTGATATATCTCCCTCTTTTAAGCTTGAAACGCATCAGCTGACCCAAGGATCTTGTGTCATGTGTGAGCCCAAGTGCCCCACTAAGCCACACCTCCCTCGCCTTTGCCCCACACATCAGGGAAAAGAGGGAGGTCCACAAGCCACCACATTCACCCGATGGACAGCTCTCTGCCTCTGCATTCTTCTTCTCTAACCATTTGTGCTAGTCATCCCCACAGAACAGGTTTTCAGAAGACCTCTCATTTTGCTTCTAGAAAATGATGCTTCATATTTTCACATTTCTGCATGCTCAGGGCTTTCTTAGGAAAGACTGCTGCCTCGGGGTCACAAAGGGTGTTCACATGGCTGACGAGCCTAGCAAGAGCCTGGGGCGCCTTCCCAACATCTGTCCTCGGCCAGGACACAGAGCCCTCCATTCCTTTCTCCGAGGACATCGGTGTGTATTCCAACCAGACTATGTGCTCCCTCTTGCCCAGGGGCAGGAGGACTTGGTACTCTCCCATCTAAGTGCTGAGATTCCTAATTTAGCTTTGTTCAACACTCCTATTAGCCTCACACTACAGTCCTAACCTACACACGGGGCTAAACTGTGCAGAGATTAGAAAGGAGGCAATGAAATTGTCTTTATTCACAAATGACAGTTTGTTTATGCAGAAAATTCTGAGAATCAATAATGATAACAAAAATCTGAAACCAGTAAGTTAATTGCAGCAAGCTTTTAAGATACAAGGTTAACATACAAGAGTCAGTTGCTACAGAGTAGTATGAAGAACTGGAAATTAAAACAGCACCCTTCATAAATTCATACCACACCAATCAAAGAAGCCCTGACACCTGCTATCAGTCTCCCAAAATGTTCCCTAACATGATGAACATGATAAATTCTGATGAGTAAAATCTGAAAGATCTAAATAAGTGGAAAGATATTTCATATTCATGAATATTCACATTCAATATTGTTAAGATTTAATTCTTTCCAACTCAATGCACAGATTCAATGAAATTCTAATGAAAGCCCCAGAAAATACTGACTGACCCCAAACCATTCAATATTTTTCCTTTTCTTTCCGGCTTATTTCACTGAGCATGGTCCCTTCCAGCTCCATCCATGTTGCTGTAAATGGCATGAGTTTGCTGAATAATATTCCATTGTGTAAATACACAGTTGTGAATTAATAAACAAGGAGTTGAAGCAGCCTGTGTCTACACCCTGAAAATTATCCTGTGAACATTTTACTCACCTGATCTAGGTTCGAGAGACTATTAGGATCTTGACTGAGAGCTTGGTACTGGCCACGGAGCCTGTCACCTGCTGCAATTCTCCTGAACTTCTTGAGATCCACGACATACAGGGCGCTAGAAAAGAAATAACTGCTCCTTGATAACCTGGTAACTTCAGATACTTCTGGGTATAATAACAGTGAATTTGTAACAAATTTGCTTCCAATGTTTAATGCTGTTTCCAAAGATATGATGGTGACACTATTCTGTCAGGATATACATTCTTTTAGGGTCAACTCTGCTGTTCCCAAGATCTCACGAAACTCCCACTCCTACAAAACAGTAGTATCTTTGTAGACACCTTGCTATCTGTAGACCCATTTTAAATCTTCCTGTTAGGAGCATATGCCTGAGCCATAATATTTGAGTTTGACTCTGGCTCAGCTATGCGTTCGCAGTATAAGTCTGAGCAAGTTATAGAAACGTATGCTTCAGTTTCTACAGTTGTAAAATGGGGAGAAAAACAGTATTTCAAAAGCTGTCAGAGGCTTGATGAGTTAATATATGTAAAATCTTATGAGTTACTGACATGTTACAAGCAATATGCAGTTGGTTACCATTATTGTATAATTTCTACAAAAACCTGAGAACTGTGATTCAATAAGTTATTTACTAAACAAGTATGGATTTTCTAACCTGATATGGTATTTTCTTCTTAAAAGATGGGATGCCCAGTATCCTGTTTTCCAGAAACGATATCCATCCATTTCTGTGCGGCTATCACAAAATGGCGTATACCCATAAGGAGCTCCATCCAGGTCAAAATCTCGAAGTTCTTTAAGATCATGTCTCACAATCTAAATAATTAAAATTGTTTCTCTGATGAAGGCTATAAAATAACATAGGCCCTTTTTATGGGACTCTAAAGTCATTAATGCCTTAGCATAGAAATACAGAGAAAACATTTTTCTTAACATGCAATATGAATGTTTTGTCTTGTTTTGTTTTGTTTTGTTTTGCTCTCACAGTTTAAGAGAAATCAAAAATTTATACATCTAGTGTACCTCGATGGCAGTGGTCTTACTCATAAGTAAGAATAGCATAACACATCTTTTTTTTTTTTTAAGAAGGCTTTGAAACTTTATTTAAATAAACAATGCAATGTGATGTTTATGTTGATAAACCTTGAATGGGTCAAAATTTTTTTACATATATAATAGTTTATTTTTACATCACTTTGTGCATTTTTTCATCTTAGTTGTAATCCCCGTCACCAAATCACCATCACCAAATCACCCTGTGCCATCAACATAGTCCAGTGCATTTCCCTCCCCCACATAGCACATCATTTTTAATGAAAGAATTTTTAAAAATATATATTTTGAGAAGACATTAGATATTACACAAATGCATTGCACTTAATTTCTCAACCAATGAATAATTCCAAATAAATTTTATGATAAATCTCCATTACTGTATATTGGCAAATATTAGTTTGAATAATAAAGGGAAAACTGATTATTCTCAATCATAATCATGAAATTAGATTAGTAGGTTTCATTTTTTAAAGGACTTAGTCTGCTGGAGTCTACAAATAGTAGGGGAAGGTAGGAGAAAGAAATTATGTTAGATGGTATTGTGTGGAAATAGTTACCCACATTTACATATTTTCTTTCTCTTTAATGATTATGCTTCATATTTATCAATTTGGAAAACAATACCGAAGTAATAGTTCATAATACAAGTTTTAATACATGATTTGAAAATTATGTTCTAAATATAAATATTAACTTGAGCATTTAGGTTGTATGATTTTTACATATTACAGTTCTTTTCAGAAACTGTATTATTTCCACTATTTTCCCCACTGATGATTACAATGGCATGCAAAGGAGAAAGGGGAGAAATCTTGACAATTTCTGGCTGTACACATTTTGAAAGCTAAGGACTGTAATGGTTTTTTGGGACTAATGATGGAATCTTTTTTTCCTTAATTGGTAGAATGATGAGGATTTGGTTATTGCAAAATGCTAAAGAATGTTGTTGAAGGTCGAAAATGACAGAAAAAAGAAAACTCTAAACGGTGTCTCATATTCATAGAAAGTCTTATAACTACACTTATAGTGACTAATGTATTTGCTTGTTTAACTACCAAAATTAAGTAACTACTATTTCAGAGAGAATATAGCCATGTTCTAAATAATAACTTGTACTCCTTGCAACATGTTTGATTTTCCCATGAAATCCTTATGCTTTTTAAAAAAGATACTTTCTTTATATAGCAAAATCATACCTAATATGCTTACACTGTATGATAACAAGGATACTAGGCATCACAGAGTAAACTGAGTCTCTATACTCATACAGAAATGTAAAAAGATTGTGTAAGTACTACTGAAAGCAGCAGTTAAAATAATTACCTGGTCAGCATCAACAAAGATGATTTTGTCCACTGCTAGTGGGAAAAGGACATCAAGGAAAAGAATTTTGTAACCCCAAATAATCCTCTGTTTTTCAGTTTGCTGATGAAGCCAGCGGGGCCACCTGTACTGGACTAGTTCATACTGGAATCCGTATTCCTTAGCCATGTGGGGAATGACCTCCTAAGGGCAAACAAACATACACCAGACCAAAGACTTATGTGCAAGGAAGAGAAAGTTTTTTTGAGATGAAATTAACGTTTTAAAAAGGCAGAATTTACCATAGATTGTTACAAACTGGTAAAATGTCTAAATACTACTTCTACAATTTAAAAACTTTTAATGAGACACATGAAAATGCTTACGAACAGAAGTATACCTAAAACTATATGTTTTAATGACATCAACAAGTAAATAAACCTATTAACTAGCAAGTTCACTAAGATATAATGTCTCTCTACTTTTAACTACAAATGTCTGATCTGAGAAAACTTGGCTGCACAAAGAAAAGCCTCAGGGTCCCAGGACACCACCTCAGCCTTTCATGAGGACAAGCCGGTGGGCAGAGAGATGCAAAGACGAGGAAGCTGCACAAAATACAGAGCGCACTGTAGATGCTGAGGTCAGACGCTCTCTGGGTTTCATATGTGGTATTTATGACAAGTTTGTGAAAAGTCACCAAGCCTTTTGACTTTGAGTTTACTTACAAATAAACCATTTCATCTCTTTAAATGCTTCTTTAAAAACTGCACAGAGTTTTTCTTATGACAGAAATTACTGAAGTTACATAATTAATTAAAAACAGTAATTTGAGTACAAATATATTCCCAAAGACTCATTTTCAAAAAAGAAATGCCATATAAGCCTACAATGATTCAAACATTAACTATTCTAAAAAGCACATGTACTTACTTTAAATGTGGGTGAGAGATAATTTTTTAGAAACCAGAATTTCACTGGTGTTTTGGTATTACGTAACACAGAAAGCATCATGATTCTGTAAAAAGAGAACATTAAACTTGGTAAACTAACATAATTAGGAGTTTATCCTACTTTTTGTGTATTTAAATGTACTCATTAGAAGCCTTTTACTATAAATTATAGAGAAACAGAATATGATACCTTCAAATGTTATGGCTGCTGATCAAGTATATAGTGAATTATAGACACATACCTGCCTTGGGGTGATTAAACTGGCTGCTTTTTGTTTGCTTCAGCTGCTGAATCAGTCTGTAACAACGTTGTTTAGCTGGAGTAGAATCTAGTACTGGCTTAATCACCAAGTCATTACTATCGGCTATTTAAAACTTAAACAGCTGAATTGTCTATATTGATAAACTCGTTGGACGGGGCATTTGTTTTGCAATCCTAGCCATAGATTGCATCTGAAGTTCTAGCTTAAAATATTAAAACATAATCAGATATACTGAAGCATTCTCTTGTGATCCTTTCATGTAAGCAGCTAAAAATGGCCTTTTGTAATTTTTAAATATTCTTTCCTCTTTTCATATCCCTCCTTTTTAAAAAAAATAAGGAAGGAAAATGCATTTCCACATATCATCTAATTAAAAAAGTCTGTCCATTTTCTGGCCTTAAAGAATGCTGCCAATCTTCCAATTAATAAAACTTCACTGTACTTAATTTTAGGTGAAAAAAAGAAAAGGCCAGGTGCAGAATATATACTTCTATTTGGGTAAAAACATATCTGCTCATCTTTACATATCTTCCTGTCTTTGGCAGGATATGAAAATCCTGTCTGCCAACCCTTGAAAGCTACTCATGGATCTCTGGTGTTCAGAGTGGGAAGGGGAGGAGGAAAGGTGAAAAATCAGGTGGGAGTGTCCTGGGTGGGGGGAGAGCACAATGGGATTATGGGGATGAAGACAGGTGCTTCAGTGGTGGGAGCCGTGCAGGGACCAGACCTGAGGGAGGGAACTCCATACTGTCATAACGCAGCAAGGATATAAAACAATGGTACTTAAACATTGGCACTCAATAACAATAAAGTTTTGAAAAAGAAAATACTGGTCTCCAGTGAGAAAGGATATTAGGTATACAGAAAACAGATGGAAATTATTCTCACTGCTGCTTCTTTTATTCCATTTAATCTTAAATATGAAAAAGTTATTTTTCAAAATGAGATAGAAAAAGATAGACCTACCTTAAGAAACGTTCATATAAGTGGCCAGAAGCAACTGAAAAAATGTTCAGAACGTCTGTTTCCTCTTTGTCATTTTTTTTATGCAATCTTCTTGTGAAACTTGAAATAAAAAGTAGTGACAGTTTCTTAAAATACACTTGCAAACTTTATATCCCCAAATACTAATTTCATAAGCAATAAGAATAGGAATGCATTTCAAAATGAATAGTTACTACACTGTAAATATGTTCTTATCCTAACACTTCTCTATTATTAATGTTAAAACATGACAATATACCTTCAGGTTTCATGACTTCTAACGATGCTGCTCTGTCTCTAAGTTACAGGGTAGTGCCTCAGAGTCTGTGAGTTACAAAAGTAGTAGTTCTGTGACCAAGCAACAGGTCACAGGCACCTTGCCATGGCCAGGCCCAGTGTCCTGAGACTTTTAAACAGCCCTAACGAGGGAGGAAGCAGCGAGCACATGTGTGTGACTACAGCGCGCGAGTTTCCCTGTGTGGGGCAGTGAAGGTCCCGGAGAGCTGCTGCCATGACCGGCCCCACTGGCCGGGGGTTGGGACAGTCCCTGGGGCTCTGCACCTGCCGCTCCTGGCTGCTGAGGCCTCCTCCCTTGGTCTGAGCAGCGCTTCCAGGTGCTTTCTTACTCTAGCATATCCTGTGTTGTTAATGTTAACTACCCTGCCCTCCTAGAGAAGAGGGCATGCAGTTTAAAAAAATGTTTACCATCTGCAGGACTTGCTGGATTCTTCATGACTCTGCCAATGTGCTAAAATATTCATTTTTTAAATCAGATTACCTTTTAATGGAATCCCACATTCCTTTTTTTTCTTCCTCTTTATCAGTAAGGACATCTTCTTTCATTTTGCCAGGCTTTTTTTGTACCTAGATAGTATGGTAAAGACAAATTTCAGAATTTTGTAGCTGTAAAATTATGACGCATGGCTAGCTTCAGCCTGCTGAGTCTCTCTTGCTTTCAGGGCTAGGATACAACTAGCTGGAATGCTTGGGCTGAGTTAAATATCTTAAGCAGCTGGCCTGGGTTTTGTGAAGCTTTTCACCTGCAATGGCCAGAAGCAAATGTCCTCAAGGAGTGTCAGTTACTGCTGAAAAAGGAAGCTTTAAGAAAGCGCACCACAGATGAGTGTGAACAACATGCGTGGCTGAGCACAAAATGAAGAGTGGAGGTGATCAGGAATAGGTCCGACAGGCGTACGAGCCAAAGCCTGGTGCGCTGCGGCCTAGGGTCCAGGCAAAGCAAGAAGAGCGTGGTGGCAGCCTGCCCTTACCTGTCTAGTGCCAACCACACTCAGCAGATCCCGGCTCTCCCTGGCTATTAATTTTACCCAGCCACACTGCAGACTGGAAACACACTCCAGTCTTTGAACTTTGTTGTAATTTGCTTTTAAATCGAAATGAGGTATTTTTTTTATTCTCAGGCACAATGTCTGATACCTGTGCTTTTAGTATAGCTGTACAAGGTTTTTTAAGTTTATGCTGGCTCAGTACACTTTCGCACACTTGATTTTATTCTTGCTCATTGAGCTTGCTTTCTGCAAGCAACACATAGAGACTGAAAAATATATACAGTATGAGAATCTCTGTGTTTTTAAGTTGGAACACTTAATAGGATTAAATTCTAATTTGCTATTTTGTACTTCCTATCTTCCACACATTATTTCTTCTCCTTTCTCAGTTGATTTGTGTTGATCAACTTGCTTCATTCTATTTTTCCTCTGTACTTTGACATTATGCCTTACTTATACTTTAGAGTTTCTACTCTCAGAAATTTAAAAATTCCTATTTGCTTTAAAGTCTTTCAGTAATTATCTTTTCCTGGACAATATAAGAATGTTATATGTTATTGCAAACCTTTATCTAATGACTTAAATGCTACTGTTTTTAGGTTCTATATATTTAAAAAATCCTCATAATACTATCGTTTTATAGCATCAATGTTCACAATTCATTCACATATTAACCATTTTCTTTTCTCTTCCTCTGTTTTTCTTTTCTCTTCATTCAGACCTTCCGCTGTGTGAGATACATTTTTACTGCATGAGGTAAATCTTTAAACATTTCCTGTTGTATTAGTGGCCTGGTGGCAATTCAGTTTTCTTTTCAGGGCTAACACTTCAAGCTGTATTCCTGATCTTTCCCCAGGGCCTAATTTTTATGTAAAATTACCTGGCTACGATAAAATAGCTATCATAAACACATCCACAACTGAAAATGAAGAGGAAAAAAATTCCTTTTTTTCCTATCTTCTAGCTCCCTGCTTTCCTTTGTGAACTTACTCCTTCCTTTTTTTTTTGCTGGAGTTTCAATAAGACATATTAGGTAGCATCATTATAAAATTACTTGAAAATAAAATTAATCAATTAACAACAAAAAGATAATTCTTAATATTAAGAACAAAGTTTATAAAGAATGTCTGCCCCACACACTTGCACTTCCAGAATCTTGCTTTTGAAGCTGTCTAACACAACAATGACGTCTCTGAGATCTGGTTCAGAGTCAGTCCCTTGGTGCCTAAAAGTGGAAAAACATGTAAATGGCTATAATCAAGTCAATAAAAGACAAGTTTTGCTGGCATAAATAACAATTAATTCATTTTGCTATAAGCACAAGTATAGTCACTTATGCATATATTTGCTGCTTTTATAGTCAAATAGGAAACATTTCTAGACTAAAAATAAGTGTTTATATATCATAATCAAATTCTATACTACCCAACAACTCCTGAATTTACAGTCACTTTCAAATGCCAAACTAAGAGTGTGCTGTTAAGCTCAAGAAACTGGACAGGTATGTGCACTTGAGTGCCTTCTTCTGCATTACACATAATGTTCCTCAGGGTCTCATTTTCAGAACTGTAGCAACATGATAGCTTTACTCATGCACTATTTTTTATATCATCTCATTGGGCACTAAAAATGTTACTGTAACAACATTGGCAATACAACTGAATTGTGTTAAACAAGGAAAGGAGTCCATGTCAAATGAGTAAATAATTTATGTTCAGTCAGATTTATAATATACACTCGAACATTTTTCAAAAATAAAACTCTGGGGATACTAACACTATTCTGACTAACACATGTCTTTGACTTCCTCTTCCAAACCCAAATGCATGGAAAAGCTTACATAAAATAATACGTAAATGAGACAGTAAAGCATTAAGAGTACCTTTTGTATATGTGACATTTCAGTTTTGTAAGTATTTTGTCCTTTAAGTAATGGTGTTCATGAACATTTTAGTTATTTCGGTGATCTTGGTTCTACCTCCCTAAAAGCTTATTTACATATAAAAACTTGAAGTGGTTTAAAATGGTTTATATAACTCACCCAACTATTTGATAAATATCTTCAGATTTTCCTTGGCGTAACTTCAGTATCCAAGCACCTGGGTTTGCTTTTAATTGGAAATATCCCTTGTAGAATGACAAAAGACATGACTTCAGATTTTATGACAACAAGCATATCCAATTTTATGTATGAGTCATCCAAGAAAGTGTTTACTAGCTATGGAGCAAGTCCTAACGAATGAATTTGAGGGTAGGAGATTTTGCAATAATCAATAAAAGCATATTCTTCAAGTATGAGTCCGTTCACTTTTGTTTTGGTTACCTTTCTCAAGTATTCTAATTTGTTTTCTACAAGATGTTCAACAATAGCAAGATAAGGATGATTTCTTCCCTTTATTAGGAAAAGTCAGAGGCTTTCACCAAATCAGGGAATTAAAACTCACCAGTAAAGTATTTAGAATACTTACGAGATTGGCCATCACTATTGTATCTACCATAACAGGTTTCTTTTTTGTGCCAAGTGTGAACTGTAGGCCCCGAGGAGGCTGCTCTGCTGTTACATCAAAGCAGTTTCCCTCAAGCAACAGGTATTCTAGCTCATATTCAGCTACAACAGTCCCTTCCATCTGTGAAGGGAAGATGTCATTGCTTTGCATTAGTTATTCTCAAAATATACATTTATAATTTGATGTTAAAAACAGCAAATTCATTTGAGGGGTAACTTCATCTTTCTCTCACATGAGTGAACTTAATAGCTGAATCAATTTCTTGAAGTCTGAAGCAACTAATGAACATTTTCCTCCCATTTTCCAAGACACTAGCTCTTGTCCAAGCTCAGAGGACATGTACCAACATCACAATCAGGAGAGGGCTGAACACACTCAGTAAGTTGTGGTACTCAAGGAGCCTCTTCCAGGAAAACTCCTCAGAAAACCTACTTCATTTGCCCAGAGCTCCTACTTCAGAACTGGCAAGAAAGTCAAGCAATTATCTATCATTGCTTTTGTAGTTAAAGAAATGAATTGCTTTGTACTCAAAATATGTCATTAAAGAAAATTTAGCAAACATAAAAGGAAAAGGAAAAAAAAAACACTTAGAGACTGGACATTCATACATTCATAAGCACAGTGATTCTATTTGTTTTGCTTACATTATTTGCTACTTTTTTTCATTAAACAGTTTTAAACAATTATCTTCATAAACATCCTTTAAAAGGGCTGTGCATTCTAATTACAATCAGATTTCCCCTGTTGTGTTAGAATAAATGTTTTAGAGATAAACCTTTTTCTCTACTTCAAATGAACAGTATTTACAAGTGGCGATTTTTACACAGTTTGGCATTTTGTTGAGCAGATAAGACAGTGATGCTATTTATTTTTAGTTTTATTTAAGCATATGAGATTTTCGACACTACTGACTAGCCATGTTCAGGATACAGACTATCTGAAAAGATCTTGTTTCATTTAGCTGATTTTCTCCTGGACTATATTCAACACTGAAATAATTAGAGTACTTATGTAGAACATTTGTTTCTTGAGTCCATTTCTTATGTTACTGATTTAACGAACAAGAAATAAGTTAACTTCTTTAAAGACAGTATTTGCTTCAACAATTTTAGTTGGGTTCTGAATAGTTGTTGAATTATGACTATTCTAGTGATATTGTGTAGACTGCATTAATCTTTTGAGACTTTATGGACTCTACTGTCATTACAGGCCTTTGTTTGGATGAAAAGATTTAGAAGGAATAATCTCAGAATATGCAAATACTGAGAGTTAAAAAGACAACCTACAGGCCCCCTAGTTGAGTACTTCATTTTACATCCAAGGACCACCCATTAAGCGATTATGAAGTAAATCTTAATTTTATCATGAATTCCTAACGATGAGCCCAAACATAATCAGTTTGTGATGAATAATACGTTATAATGTACTAATCTAAAAATCTGTCAGGTCCCTATATATTATACAACAGATTTCAACGCTACTGACCTGCTCAAACCACAGCACACAATTTTCAAAATTCCCTCTAGTGAATATTTTGATTTTACTAATAATTTTATAAAGGTGATCTAAATTAAGTCAGTTATTACTTTCAAGGTTTAGTTTTGACAAGGATATTGTCTTTCCTGATTTTTGTATCTCTTTTGTATTTATTTGTTCTAAATATTAACTATTGACATCAGACAAGACACTAGTACTTTTCAAATATAACTGGGTATACACTGATATTTTTAAACAGGCACATTTATTATAATTTTCAGTGGGTGAATATTAAGTTAGTAACTTCCTTTATAAAGAGGGTAAAGTTTAACCATAAGGATTAGCCATTTGGGTTTATTAATAATTACCTATGAATCAAATGAAATTCTTCGACAGTTACACTTACAAAATGAATGTTTCATCAATAAAACTAATGTCCACAGTTTATGTATTTCAGGAGGGGATAATTCATTCTTTTGTGAATTACTTTAATACAGTCACATCCTATTTTCCATTAGCAGTCTTATTTAGTCACTTCCTCTTCTCTGAGTACCTAAACTATTGCTTCCTATTGTGATCTTTCAGAGACAGCCTGTCATCAAATATTACCAGAGAGTTCCTGGAGGCGGCTCTAACAACAAACTCTGAGAACACTTAAACACATGGGGAAAAAATAACTTTCACTTTTCTGCCATCTCTTTTGTACCTTTAATTATGGCATAAGTACTGGTCGTACACTAAACCATGTGAACAAAGTCCTAGTAAGAGAGACTTTTTCTTGATCAGTGTTATTCAGGTGTTTATAGAAAGTATGGCAGCAGAGGTACCAAAGAGTACCTTTCGAAAGCTCTGGACAGGGACAAATCTGTCAAGCATTGGTTTCATTTTATCCAGGGGTCACTTTTCTCTTTTACCCACAACTCCTTGCTCGCGAGTGAGTATCTGTTATTTTATTTGCCAAGTAGGCACACAGGCCGGACCACGCGGTACAGCACGGGAAGGAAGCAGGACTCCAGCCTGCAGCGCACAGTGCACTTCTCTGCGTTCACCCTCACATTACTAGGACTGATCTCATGAATCACCCTAGTTCTCCTTAGGGCTGCTTTCTCTGGTTATGAGCTGTGAGGCAAAAAAAAGTTTCAGATGTAATTGTTCCTTTCTGAAGTAAAAACAGTAATTAAGATGGGAAGAGGGTGGGAAAACAGAGTAGCTGAAACTGCAAGTCAGATGACTTAAAAGCAAAGGAAAGACTAGATGAGACTCGAAAATAAGAAGGAAGAAAATGCAAGCAGGGGGCCAGAGCAGACTCCCCACTTGTACAGTTACAGTGACTGGTTAGAGTTTCTCCTATTCCCCTTCGTTAGGGAACTTGACACACTTACATCCTTTAAGTGAATATTGTCAAGGTCACAGTTGCTGTGCACTGTTTCAACTAGCCAGCCGTCAGGAGTCATCATGTTGAGAGTTAGAAGGGGTGACTCGGGGATTTCCAAGAATTTTGCCACAGGTCGAAGAATGTCATTAGACCCAGATATTAGTTCTGGTTCCAAAACAAAACGATAAAAGCTGTTGAGAGAAAATAAAAACCCATACTGTGAGCAAAGTTGACATCATTGCTTCTAAAATATTTCAAAAGTGAAAATGGCTTTATAACAACTAGAAATTCTTAGAAAGATCTAAATTTTTAAATCATTTCTTAATAAACATGATTGGAATCCCTTTAAGATAATACTCACACACACTGACCCTTCCTAACATTTGACCATGGTCTATTTTTCCATCATTTTATTTATTCTCAATACCACTAATACTATCAAGGGAATGATATCCAGAAAGCAAGTAATATCCAAGCTGAAATTCTAACACCAATTTGAGAAAGATCAATTAAAAACATACATGTTGAGTTGAAAGCAGATGCTTATTGATAAAGCTATCCGAAATACTTGTGGTTTTGCTGTATTTTATTATTTTATGCCCCAATATCACACACAAGGGCTTGCTATATTATTAAGAAGTAACTTCATGATTTTTCATTATTTTTTACGTCATTCTTCATTTTGTCCAGTGTGTGCACTTTCACTGTGGGAGCCCCGTCGAAGCCCCCCCACCAGCCCTGTGCACCGCCATGTACCCTGTGCTCTTGCCTTCCGTTTTCATCCTGCTCCCCTTCTGCCGCTGCAGGATGTCTCAGGTTTATAGCTGCCTGGTGGTTTGATATTTCCTTTATTAAAATTATGTCTCTTCCCCCGACCCCTTATTTGGATCTTTTACACTCCTAAAAGCGAAACCACCTGGTATTTGCCTTTTGGCTTATTTCACTGAGCATGACCCCTCCCAGATCCATCTAAGTTGTTGCAAATGGCATGCATTTATCTTTCTGATAGTTGATATTCTTCTGCGTGTGGAGGTGTGTATCACATCTTCTTAATTCAGTTATCTATTTTGGGGCATTCGGGTTGTTTTCATAGTTTTAGATATTGTAAATAGTGCTACAACAAACATGGGGTATAGCTGTCCTTTTGAATTAATGTTTTTGTGTCCTTTGGGTGGAATCCTAGGAGTGGCATTGCTGGGTCCTATGGAAGCTCCATTTTGAGCAGTTTGAGAAACCTCCAAACAGCTTTCCAAAGTGGTCGAACCAGTATGCACTCTCACCAGCAGTGTAGAATTCCTTTTCCTTCACATCCTTGACAACATTTGCTGTTGCTAGTTTTTAAAATATGTGCCATCCTCACTAGTGTGAGATGGTATCTCATTGTGGTATTGATTTGCATTTCCCTGATTATGAATGATGCTGAATATTTTTTCATGTGCCTGTTGGCTATTTGCATTTCCTCTTTGCAGAAGTGCCTTTTAGCTCAAAAGGAGGGATTTCCTCTACTTTGAGAATGGTATCTCAAAGCTCCATGAGGTAGGGCCTTCTACTGGGCTCAGGGAGTTCAAACTCTGGAACCAGGGTGGAAGTGTCCTGACTGGAGATGCCCTTAGTTCCCGGCCACAAGGCTATTCTCTGGCATGCTTCAGCAGAGAAGAACACAAGTAAGAGAAAGCCAGCAAGAAAAAAGTCACATCTGTGGACTGCAGAAGGGACAGTCTATGACTTTTGCCATATTCTGTTCACTAGAAACACATCACTAGTTGCAGCCTAAACTGAAGAGAATCTACTGGGATGAATCCCAGATGTGCCTGTGGCAGGCAGCAGAGTGGGATAAAAAAAGAGGGGTAAGAGCAGATGTGGGAGAGAACACAATCTTGAAGCAAATGTAGAAAACAGACTGCCAAAGCAAGGCTATGCTGCCAGCCAAGGGAGAAGCAGCCCATGGGTGTTATGACTGGTAATTTCTCTGTGATTTAGCAAAAACAATTCAGAGGCAAAGAGGCAGTTAAAGCCAACCTGCAAACTGAGGTACAGTGAATGAGAGCATCTTTCCCCTACTATGCAGGAAGGCCAGGAGGTACAGGAGATGGAGAAAGAGTTCAGGGAATTTCTGGCCACAACCTCCACCATCTCTGAGGAGGATAATACAGTATTCTAAAAGAGCTGGCAACTGATGTCTAAATCAGTGACCTGATACATGTTACTGAGTATGTAAAAGTCTGCTGAACTCATACTTAAAAAAAAAAAAAAAGACAAAAAAAATTAATTTTTGTCTTAATATATTCACCTGGTAAAATAAGTGTTATTTCACCTTAGAGAAGTTCGTTCACACCTAATGTCTCTTCTTGCTTATATCCAGTACTCCTTGTCCCTATAACATAGCCCAAAGCTTTACAGGGATACTGTGGAGAGGGCCTCTACATGTTAATAAAAATCCTATACTCATGGGACAGAACTCTCAATGAGTGGTTAAAAAAAAAAAAGATAAATTTTGGCCCTCCCTGGTGGTGCAGTGGGTTAAAGCACCACACTAAGAAGCTAAAAGCCACTTCTGCATGAGTTCGATTCCCACCTGCCCTGGAGGTGACCACATGGCGTGGCAGACCTCTCCTGACCCGCCTGCTGCTCCCCTCAGCAGTGTACTTCAGCGATCTGCCTGTTCTGCTCCCCACTCTGTCTCTGGTGAAGCCTTTAGCCGCCCCTGAGCCTCTGCCCTGTACTCCAGTTCTGTATGAACAAATAAATAAATCTTTTTTAAAAAAAGAACTTTTGTCCAAACTTAGAAATATTTAATAAAATTTGAAATACAAAAAGTAAATAAGAAGTATGAAAAATGAGTAAAATGTGATGACAAATCTCAGGAATATACAGAATTTTATATTCTTTACAGTTTATAGTTATATTTTATGCATTACCATGTTTACAAGCTCTACTAAGATAATAATATTGTTTTTCAAATATAACAAACATCACTCAATAGGAAAATAAGGGATTAACTGAATACTAATTTTCTGTCTCCTGTACTTATGTATTTTTTGTTTAGTTTCACAACTGAATTAAACAAAGAAAAGCCAAAATAACCTTTCCTCCTGTCTCATGAAAACCGAAGAGTAGTTCAAGTACTGCGATTCTGATCCAAAAAGAGTAAGGTCATGCTCTTGCTCCCGTTTTATTTTTATCTCCAAATGAGAGACAACATTATTTCAGCAATATTAATAAGGTATATCTGTACAGAATGATAATACTTTCTATATCATTCACAGATTATTCTAAATTACATCTCAATATTCCAACAGTAGATGTGATGATATAATTTGATTGTTTCGCTCTGATAAGTATGGATGCATAGTTAATCCAAAAATGGTTTACTGGACCTTATTTCTCATGTGTATATTTCAAAATAAATATTTTTAGGTCACATCTTCAAACATGCCTAAAAGTAAATGTCAATCTATATAAAATTTGCAATTAGACTGAATCACTTTTTTTACTTGTTGGTATTTTAGGTTTAGACTAGTAATATATGTATATATATGTATTCTCTAAGATCTTTTGATCCATTTCTGTTAAGCGTCTTGTGAAGACTAAAAACCAGGTAATTTTTCAAAATTAAATTATGTTCATTTAGACTCACCTCTTTAAAGGGGCCTCTGAAAGCATGCCCTTACAGTTCAAGAACACCCGCATTTTCATGTTGATAATCTTGCCAAGTACCTATTAGAAAAATATTCCCACATTTATATGAAGTAATGTTAACAGCTCCCATCTCCTTACTATATGCAGGTCGACAGCATTCGGTATCATCCCGCCTGACCCCCACAGGAGCCCGTAGGGCAGCCACAGTGCTGTGTACATCTGTGATAGTGAGGCACAGAGGTAGTCATTTACCCACCAAGATACTGCCAAGTGCAAGAGCTCACCCCACCAGCTGACTGCAATATCTAAGAATTATGCTGCCGACCTTTTGCCTAAAGTGACTTGCTTTTACAGTGAACATTATTCTTTCAGACATATCAGTGTTTAATCATACTACATGAAGTAGAATAAGTATGATGCTTTTTGGTGTTTAGTGGGGGCTTACACAACAGAAATGTATGTTAGCTCGAGGGACAGGCTGAGTTGGGTGGGCTTCCTCCCAGGGCTGCAGGTAGTAATCATGTCGCTACATGACTCTCCGTGCACGCAAGAAGAGAAGAGTTCTCGCTTGTGTTCTCTTCTTATACAGGTATCTATACTACCGGATTAGGGCCCCATATACAAGACTTCATTTATCTGAATTAGTTCCTAAGGGTCCTATTTTTGAAAACTCAAATTTGAATCAGTCACATCAGGGGTTCGGGCTTCAATACATGAATTTGGGGAAAGGAGACAACAATTAATTGCCTTACTGACAACTAGTTGGTTACAGAAGCACCTCATCTTGGTTACTGCCATAACACCCACTGCACAGCACTATCATTTCATTTTCCACAATGAAATATGACAGCTATTTAAAATGTATGGGAAAAGAATCAAAAGCACAAATATTTGACTATACTTGAAAAACACTTGAAAAATTAATTATAAATTTCAAAATAAAGGCTTCAGTAAACTTTAAAATAGGAAATGCATAATAAAACATGATCTTACGATCAGCAACTGTGCCATCTTCTGGGCTTCTCTTGTCAGTGGGTCAACAACAGCAATGACATCAAAGAACATATCATCCTCTTGAGGATTTATCTTTATAACGCTAATAAGATGAAAGGTGATGGGCAAAGTTTATTCAATTATTTAATTCATTTTAATCTTCGCTATATACATTCCTGTAAATTGCTTTATTTCTCGCTGGATTAAAAAGGTCCTTGTTATTTCACAAAGGAAAATGCCAATTTAATAGTCTAATGTTTGTATTCAATAAAATATAAAACTGGAAGGAACTAAAGGAAACAAAAGTAAGATTGTATGAGCAGTCACTTTAAACCTACAGGGAAAACACTTACAGTTAAAAAAAAATCTGGTAATTCAAATGTCTAAGATTTTCATGAGTTAAGCAGTGTCAAACACAAAGCCAAAACGTTTTTGTGTTAGCTCAATATACTTTCTCAGAGTTCAGAGTGGTAAAATGAACTAGTTAGTACTTTTGTTGGACTTAGTCCTGGCAAAATTGGAATGTACTATGTAACAAGGAAGTTTTGAGCAAAAACACCCAAATGTATAATGCTTTTTAAACCCAATTTTTTCCTCTACACACTTTCTTCCTCTGTCCTGTTCATTCTGTCTCTCATTGGTCTATGTTCTAAGTTAGCAGGTAGACTAAACTTTAAAGGTAAGTGTTGGGAAAAACTAAATGCACATAAAAGAAATAATAGATCATATATTTAAAATAATTAAAAAGTAGATATTTGAACAAAACTGTTTAATGTAAGTTGATTTATTGTTTTAACCTTGTAGTTAACTCTGAAAACCAGCTTTTCAGGTTAAATATCTTACACTGAATGTGTATGTTACATTTGGTAATGTGGCATTGCCATTAACAGGTCATCTTACCCCAAAGAGTACACAGATTCAATGCGATTCCTCCAAAGTTTCAATGGCAACATTCTTCAAAGGCATAGAACAAACACTACCAAAATTTATATGGAACTATGAAAGAACCTAAATAGCTAAGTAATCCCAACAAAAAATGAAGTGAGGAGGTATTATATGTCCAGATTTCAAACTACTCACTATAAAGTAATAGTAATCAAAACAGTATGTATTGAGTCTTTGGGGACGCAACTCCAAAGTCAAGGTAAAGAGAAGCAAAAATAAATAGACTACCTTAAAATTAGATGTTTCTACAGTGAATTCAGCTATCACTAAAACCCTATCAAACAGGAGGAAATAATCTGCTTATCATATATTTGACAAAGGGCTAATATCCAAGAGCTACAAAAAACTCATACAAATCGATAAAAAAACAAAAAAATTCAATCAAAAAATAGGCCTGCTGTATTTTACTTCAAATATCTTAAAGCATCTGTGTTATACAGTGAAGTTGTAAACTAGTTTATTATTCTAAAACATACTTTTCTAGTGGTCCAGAGAAATCAAATTTTTATGAGGCAGTACTTTTTGAAAAGACAACTAGAGTTGGAATTGCTGCTGTATAGTACCAAATAAATTTTTCTTCTGTTTTCCCATAATTACACATCTTCATAGTTCATGCACACTTAAAGTCTTGCAACCCCACCCTAAAAGAGCAGTGTTCTCTAAACCAACTTGACCACAGAACAGTTCTTCCCTCAGAATACATCTGCTAACACCTCCGGGTCATGTTCCACACACATTCTGGGACTTGCTGTTATACATATATACATTTTATTCATGAGAACTCTTCGGTAATTGAGATCACTGTACATTAATAAAAACTGCGCTATTTATAAAACCTAACCCAAGATTTCACAAACATTGCAATTGCTCTTAAACATATAAGATGAGAATAAGTCAATCCACATTAGGTGTAACTTACCTGAAACATCATATCCTATATTTTATCATCCTTTATTACCAGACTATACAAATAGTTGAAATCACTTGTCAAACACATTTATTCTTGAATGAGAGCTTCTACTTTAAACTTTACTGTATTATATTATGGTGAATACAAATAGATATCATAATTGAATATAGACTGCATAGAAGGAAAAAACAAACACAGTCATGATTCCTACCTGTAATTCTCTTTAAGAAATGTGACATCAGACCGGGACATATGTTTAGGCAAAGAGGAAAAAAGGGCATCAATTTTCATAACAAGATCACTCATGCTAGATAAACAAGACAAACAATATATGAGTTTTAGGGGATAAGAAATTTCTGTATTTCCTTAAACAATTAATGCTTCAAGAAAAGGGAATTTAAAATATCTCCAAATACAAATTTTTATACAAATGATTTTCCTTCTACACTAGCCAGTAAATAGAATTTGTATGCTACTTTTGAAGTTATTCTATTTTTTACTTCTCAATGACACCATCTTTAAGCACTTAAAAAGTGTTTTGGGCCCTCACTGGTGGCGCAGCGGGTTAAAGCACAGCACTAAGAAGCTGCAGCCACTTCTGCATGAGTTCGATACCCGCCTGCCCCGGAGGAGATCCACATGGAGTGGCAGACCTCTCCTGACCCGCCCGCTGCTCCCCTCAGCAGTGTACCTTGTCGATCTGCCTGTTCTGCTCCCCATTCTGTCTCTGGTGAATCCTCTCACCCTCCGCATCTCTGGCCTGTTCCCCAGTTCTGTATGAATAAATAAATCTTTAAAAAAAAAAAGTGTTTTCAGGGTCTTTCCTGGTGTGTAGCGTTTAAAGAGCAGCACTACAAAGCTGGCTGCAGCCACTTCAGTGTGAGTTTGATCCCCACCCTGGAGGTGACCACATGGCGCGACAGACCTCTTCTGTCTCGCCTGCTACTCCCCTCAGCAGTGTACTTTGTAGATCTGCCTGTTTTGCACTCTACTCTGACTATGGTGAATCCGGTCACCGCCCCTGGACCTCTGGCCTGTACCTAGTTCTGTATGCATAAATAAATAAATATATTTTTAAAAAAGTGTTTTCAACAGTGTCTGTACGAGTACAGCCAACATAAAATATAGCTAAGTAGCCCAGATTTCTGAGCAATCAAAGTGTCTGAAAACCAGTGAAGACTGCACAAGGTAACTACCTATATTGAGTGTAACCAAATTTGAAGATTTATGATAGCAAAAATTTAAGTTCAATGAGATACTCAGAAAATGCTGGCCTAACTTAAGGAAGGCAAGCGAGCAAGAAAGGGAGGAGGGGGAGAAGAGACAGGCATGTCCCTTTATGGAAATAGCAATTTAGATTCAGGCGCTTGAGGATCCTGCATCTCTCTGCCACATCTTGTTTTGTTGACTTAATGCAGGGCCCTGTTCTGCATCGCTTACATCTTCCACAGCGCAGCACCTCTCTCTTCAGGTGTGGGCGCTGGAGTCTCCCAGCACCAAAGGGCCACAGTCCTCCCCTGTAGTTCATGTGCTCTTTCCCCACCTCCATTCCCGACTCCTCCCACTCTGGATACTTCAGGTCTGTGGTCAGCTTGCAAAGGTTGGATGTAATGCTTGACTTTGACTGCCCTTTGGTTTCCCTGTATTCCACATGTAAGCGGCACTATGCAGTATGTATCTTTCTCCTGTACAATTCTATTTAGCATAATTCCCTCTAGCTCCAGCCATATTTCTGCAAGTGCAGAAGTTCCCCTGCTGAGTGTATTCCACTGTGTATTTGGTACCACACCTGCTTTGGGCACTTAGTTGTTCCCATCTCATGGCTACTATAAATAGTGGTGCAGTGAAGTTTGAAGTACAGGTTTCCTTTTGAACTAGTACTTACGTTGTGTTCTTGGTGTAGATGCCTAAAAGTGGCACTGCTGGAATGTATGGCAGATCCATTTCTAGTCTTTTGAGGAACCACCACAATGTCTTCTCTATGGTATTTTGTTTTGTTTTTTAAGACATATTTATTCATAAAGAACTGCGGTACAAGTCAGAAGTGCAAGAGTGGTGAGAGACTTCACCAGAGACAGAGTGGGGAGCAGAACAGGCAGATGGATGAAGTACACTGCTGAGGGGAGCAGTGGGCGGGTGAGGAGGGGTCTGCTGCACCATGTGGGTCACCTCCAGGGCCATGGGTCGAAATCACAAGCGGCTGCAGCCAGCTTGCAGTGCTGCGTCCTAACCCTTGCACCACCAGGGAGGGCCCTCTTTGGTATCATTTTTTATGGGATTTTAAGGTCCCAAAATATAAGGCTTTATATTATTTCTTTTTGTAACAACTACCATGTCTTTCATATATTTTTTTAAAGATTTATTTATTTGTGCATACAGAACTGGGGTACAGGCCAGAGGTGCAGGGGTGGTAAAGAGGCTTCAGCAGAGACAGATTGGGGAGCAGAACAGGCAGAGTGACGAAGTACACTGCTGAGGGGAGCAGCGAGTGGGCCAGGAGAGGTCTGCCTTGCCATGTGGGTCACCTCCGGGGTGGGGACCGAACTCATCTTGAAGTGACTTTAGCTTCTTAGAGCTGTGTTTTAACGCGCTGCACCCCCAGGGCGGGCCCTCATATATTTTTTTTAAGATTTATTTATGTGTTCAGAACAGGGGTACAGGCCAGAGGTGTAGGAAGTGAGAGGATTCACCAGAGACAGAGTAGGGAGCAGAATAGGCAGGTCAATGAAGCACACTGCTGAGGGGAGCAGCAGGCAAGGCAGGTGAGGTCTACTGCGCCATGTGGGTCACCTTCCTAGTCGGGGATTGAATCATGCTGAAGTGGCTGCAGCCAGCTTCATAGTGCTGCACTTTAATTCACTGCACCACCAGGGAGAGCTCTGTATCTTTCACATGTAATAAACATGTATCAAATAAAATTAATTCATTGAAACTAAACTCTCTCAGAGGTATGTATTAGCTGCAATGTCTAATATGTAAAACTGTGGGGCCAGTAGAAGAAATATATAGTTAGACATGTTTTCATGTTTCTTAAGTAATATAAATGTACCAAGAGAATTGGGAGATAAACAAAGCGAAACCACCTGTTCTTAGATTTTTTGCTGAAACGTCATCTATCCAGCCCAATGTTTCTGTATTTTTGAAAAGAATTTGGTAAAGGTAGACTAGAAACTCAGCACCTACTGAGAACCGAAGATGTCTCTCAGAACAGAACACACAGAAATCATTGCAGCAGAGAAATAGATTTTATGTGCTTTATCAGGATAATGTTTCAAGGGTCTTCCCTGGGCATTAAAGTTCTAACTTCCTAGTTAACCAATTCTTGTACAACATGATGAAAACATGTACCTTTAACTTATAGTTCAGATTAAAATGATCATGAATTTATTCTAATTACAAAATAACTTGTTTAGCAGTATTTGCATGAATACAATTTAAGACTATTAGAGCACACATGGCTACAGTGTAACATATTCTGTTGTTTTGATGGTAGTTTTATTCTGAAATGCAGCTTTAAAATGGCTTCCCAAATCTACTTAGAATTACAAATTACACATAAATTTTTACTTAAAACATTTTTCAAATATAACAGATATGTAACATTGTATATAGTTAAAGTGATACATCTATATATGCATCACATATATTACATATACAACTACCATTTTTGGTGGTGAAACACCTAAGATCTAGATTTTAGCCATTTTTGAAGTTTATAACAAGACTGATATCTATGATGACCTAATGTCTATGGCATTAGATTGCAAAGACTCATTTATCTGGATACAAGTCTGTATCCTTTTACCTCTTTAAGCCTCCAGGCCCTGGTAATCATCACACTACACTTTGTACACTACACTTTGTTTATACCTGACCCAAACAAGGTGAAAAAATTAGCTCTGAAACGTTAACATTTTCTTTACAAAATTCAACAATTACTTGGGCCTAACTTATTTCAATACATTGTTTTTATTTTTAAAGTTTTCTTTAGTTTTTTTTTCCCATTTGAAAATAGCTGAAGTTATTATTTACTTCTTATTAACAATTTTGTAGATTAAAAAAAAATTTTAATGAGAACCAAACACACAACTTTTAGGGAATGGTTACTTCTTATGGAAGGAGGAGAGTGAGTTAAATGGTTAAGAATCATGACAAATAAAGAGTAAGATCAAGCCAAAAAGATATTAACCTCTGCTGCTTGGTGGAGCTGAATAATTTATGGGTCTCTTCTCCTATTTCTTTATTCTTTATATGTCTTTTAGTCTATCTTCACTCGTGTATATATTTGAAACATTTTTCTAATTTTACATAAAAAGGAGATGCAAGATATCAACCCCCAAATGAACTGTCCTTACTATTTTAAATACTTACTTCTTTGAGTTCATTTCCATATTTTCAACAATTCCTTTAATTTTCTCAACTGATTTAGTAAAGGTTATCTTTTCCAACAAATAGAAATCTTCTGCATAGAAGTTCTTATCTAAAGGTCCTATAAACTTAAAATAAAAGCAACTATATTACCATATAGCTCCTAGAAGATAACCAGTTTGGAACAAATATCATCTCATCAAATACATATTTTCTTAATTAAAATCTAATAAAACAGATGGCACTACTAATCCCACCAAGGGAAATAAGAAGAGAAAAACATTTTCTCACTTTGATATTACAAATAACCACTGTGTCAACACCAACCTCAAAGTGACAAAAAAGCAACAAATTATTTCTATTTGAAAACTTTACTTTTAAACATGATACTTCCAAATGCCAAATCATGAAAACTATTATCTTTATTTTGTAGATCTTTTGATTTCAATTTTCTTTCCTACTCACCTACAAATTGTAGTTTATATTATGTAGATATAAGTATACAAGCAAGGCATAAAAGAAGAAAAAAAACAAGCGACAAATCACAGTTACTTATTAATGCCAATTTTCATCTGAGGTGTAATGACTTCGAGCACAGAAGGTCATGTAGGTTGCTTCAAACCAGAAACTGCAGAAGCTGTCAAGCTGCTACGTACCTAATTTCTCAGGATGGATAATTGGTAACAACCCTATCACCAGCATTTCTTGAGAGAACTAACAGATGAGACCATCACAACAGGGTGAGCACAGTCATGACCGGAAGGTGAGCCTGACATGTTCTTAGGCGCCAACCAACTCTACTTAATGACAAAATTGTTTGTCAAACACAGTATGATTTTTTTTTTTCTTGCTTAGGACCAGAATAAAATGGTTGCAACAAATTTCCTCACCTCCCTTTCATCTGCTTTTGCAATTATATTTTCTCAAAATTAATGAAGTTTAATTCTTGTTCACAGAAAAGGTGATTATTTGCTGGAATGTGGGCATTCTACCTAAATAAATGTTTCACCTTAAACACAAACCATGAAGTCTTAAATAAAATACAAAAAGGCACAAAAATACCAAATTGTATATTCTATCATCTTAAGACTTATAATTTTAAAGCTGTTTTTGTAGATGTGAGTCGGAGAAAACCAGAAAAGGTTCAATTTTATATACGTCATTCTTAGTGACTTGAGCAGTTTTTTAACAAACTGAAAGAAATGACATCTCAAATAATTTTCAAGGTAAGACCCGACTGGTTGTCTGTACTCGTGAAATTCACCAGAGAACCAACCTGACTGCACATGTGCAAGGTCCCACGTGTGCTGGACACACAGCTAGTGTCGCAGCGCTACCAGGGGTTGAATATATTGACAGTGTTTGTGGAATAAAGTTAACTTAACCAATATAAAGGCACATAATGTCCAAGTTGAGAAAAGGAACATTAAACTTGAAAATCAGTACAATAAAACCTTTCTGGTACTTAAATCTCTTTTACAGCTTGGTAATGTGACTTTTCAGTTACAGAGAATAACTGGTGAACAGAAACTATCTATCTTCTTTGTCAGTTCATTAAAATGTTAGCAAACTAGTAGAGCATTTCCCCCAACTGAGCTTAGAGTCTCTCTACACTTGTGATAGTTTCATCCACTGAGCTGATTCAATAGCAACTCTCACTGAGGGTAGCACAAATGTACTCACTATCTCTCAGGACAGTCATCAAATAGTTAAAGAGAAAACAGGAATTATTAGTTACTGAAAAGTTACCTGTGTTTAGAATCTACCTGCTTTACACATAAAAGTATTTAATCTGAGAACTCTTTAAAATAGACTATTACCATTCCTATCATCCAATGAAGAAACCAAGCCTCACAGAGTTCATATAATTATTGATACAACTGGAATCTGAATCCAAGCTTGTCTCATTAGAAAAATAAAGCTTCCCCATGGGGATTACAACTGAGATGGAAAAAGGCACAAAATGATGTAAAAATAAACTATTAAAAAAAGATAAGAAAAAAAAAGCCTCATTTATGCTTCCTACACTTTGTTACTGCCTTTCTTTCAGCAATGTGAAATGTGGTGAAAACGAATGTATATACTTATAGCAACAGCACTGAAATTTTATTTAATATTCAGAATGTGTAAATTTTTCATTCTTCAGCCTAATCAGTAAGCCAGTATGCAATAATCAGTATACCTCAGTTTTGATCATTTACAAATAATTTTAATTTTGAACCTATTCCAACTTAAATGTAAAATCTGATCAGATTCAGAATGAAGACTATTTCTGAAATATCAGGACTATTTCAAGCATTAAAGTGGTTCAATTATAACTTTCTACACAACTGCTGCCATTATTGTGCTTTGCTGCATTCCTCTGGGGCAGACTAATAAGCTAAGTATTATAGTTTAAGCTACAGTGTTTATTTCCAATGTATTATACTTTTCTATTCAAATTACAGTTCTACATATAAAAAGGTAATCAAAATAACAATTTTCTATTAGTCATCATAAAGAGGTGATATAACTTCATATCTGTACCTGTTACTTAACATGATCAAACATCCAGGAAAGCTGTCACAACGTACTTTTCACATCTACCCAACCAGCGGCTCTCATTTGCCATTGTGTAATAAGCACCAGATGTCTGTTTTCATGTTTGTACTGATGCTAGACCAAGATTACAGCTCTCCCCACACGAGAGCTTCTCCTCTGTTTCACATTATCATCCGTGCAGGAAGGAAGCGGCGAAGGACCTGCAGTGTGCCCGAAGGGACAAGCAGCGCCCAGCTGACTTACGTGGAGACCGGCCCGGTGAGCCCAGGACTTGGGCGCCGTCCTCTGTGGGTGTCACCTTCCGTGTGCTGTGACAGGAAAGGGTTGCGATCCGCTGTATCACCGAGCCACCAAAATAGTGAGCAAGTGCTTTTCTACTTACTTTCCCATTGCTGACGACACCTATTTCTCCAGGACTCAATTTAAGGACATCTTGACAGAACAGCTGGTGAGTTCGGAAAACGCTCACTCCAACAGTGTTGTATTTTTTCTCAAAGGCTTTTGTATTCACCCCCTAAGTATAAGGTAAAATGATCAAACAATATAAGTGCAGTGAGTCTACTTACATCATCTTAACAAAACCTATTTTAAGTAATGTATTAGTATAAAACTGAAAATTATAACATTTACAAGTCTTGTTATAAGCAGATAAAGTGTACTCATTCTTTGAGAACTGCAGGTGATTCCTGGTTAGCAAAATGCTGGTGAATACCAATTTAAATAAAATTCAACATTAAGGAAATGAATGTCTTTTAATTACAAACTTTTGGTGTGCTCAGTAAAAAAACAAGACAACAGTGCTTAAAATAGACATGGGTACACCATGATCTCAATGCCATAAAGCTAACTTAGTGATAGTGAACCACAGTCTAAAAAACGTAACTCTTTTTGAGAGTTACAAAAAATCTGTGGGCACTCCCAGAAACTGAAACACCAACACCTGCCTTACTTTGCCATATTAAGACAAATTCCCCATATCAGTACTTAGCATGGAGATTACCTAGGTGGCTGATGAGAATGTAAAAACCCCAGCAGCAGATCCAGGGTGGGGCTGAAAGTCCTAATTTCTAACAAGTTCCCAGGGCTCCTGTGTGGGCAGAAATGCTGCTCCTCAGCTGTCCAGTGAGGTGGCCACAGAGGCTTACTGGGCACTGAATAGTGGTGTGACTGAGAGACTGAACATGAAATTAAATTTTAAGCTTAAAATGCAGCAGGTGCAGCCGCAGGCCCCTCTTCCGAAGCCCTCCGATCCACTGAGCCCACCACTTATCTCACCACACTCCCCCTCACAGATTTCTCTGATCTGCAGTACACCACAGAGTCCTGCACAGAGCCTCCCAAGGCTGTCAGCTCCACTGAATGCTTCTCCTGCTCAGGCTCACCTGTTAAAACCTCCACTCTGGTCACACACAACTCTGCTTACTCTGCAACTGGACCAGTCAGCGGTAACCCAGCTGGAGGCAGGGGCGGGGCACTCGGGCTGCTCAGCTCACGTTCCATCCTGGTCACTGACCTCTCCAACTCGCTACAGTGACCTTCCTCCAAGCTTCAAACCTGGCAAGAAATCTCTGAGCCTTGACTAGAGTGGTGATTGCTCCCTGGCATAATGTTGATGTCTGAAGAGTACTGTTCTTTTCTTTGCATGTGTTGTGCTCCCAAACTTGGTCTACTCTTCTCACAGACTTTCTATGGTTTGTTTTCTCATTTTATTCTGAGTTCTGCTGAAATGCAAACTTTTAGAGATGCCTTCACTGACCACAGCAGCTAATGAGCACTTATTCCCAAACTCTCTACCCTCTAGCGTGTCTTTAACCACTTCCCTGACACCACCACTTTGTCCTCCCCAACAATGCAAGCTGCACAAGAGCAAACACTTTACCTGCCTTGTTCACAATGGCACCTCCATTGCTGGAGGATAATCAATAGTTTTTAACAGATCAATGAATCTTTATTCCAGAAGATCATCTTCTATCTTTTGCATTTCCCTGTACTAGACCTCTTCAGTGAAACAGCTGGTGATCATTTACATAATCCTTTGACTCTGGTTTCTTCCCGGAAGTACATACCCTACCTAGACTGTGATCAACTTTACGGATCATGAAGTAGTAGCTGAAACATGAAACTATTTGTTAAATGCCTTTCTACAAAACCAAATAGCGACATCATTTATATTTACTATTAAACATTTTTTTTAGATTAGTAACTCAGTATCTCCAAGTACACAAACTGATACTTTAGAAACATGCTACAGATAGTTATTATTTCAAATAATGACTGACCTCAGGAAGGAATGTTTTAATTTTCTCTCCAGAGTAAATAGCAGTAGCAGTTTCTTCCTCTGTCAGTTTTCTGAGAAAGTTTTTCAAAAAGCTGTTCTTCTGTGTAAGAAAAGCTGCCAAAATTCCTCTGGAAATAGCTGTGTTGTCTTCATTTATTTTTGATGTAGGATTATAGATAATCCCCAACCGACTATGAACACTTGTTTTCTGCAAAACACGTATGTAGGTGACAAAGTTCAGTATCCTATTCCTTCCTTCTGAATCAAGTCCACTTCACTCCAAGTTATCAAGGCTGACTACTGGACGTGGTATATCTCTGACCTCATCAAAAGCATCATTTTAGAACCTTGTAATTTGCCTCATCTTTTCACATGATTCTTTTGCAATGCAATACTTTCTTTGAACCTCTTTAGGTGTACATGAGATAACACACATGAAAAACACACAAAATAAAAAGAGCTCAATGTTTTAACCCATAACCTACCACTCCTGTCCAGAAATCTTGGCCAGCATCCAAAGGCTTCTCTCGTATTTTACCAATTGTAATACATTTGCATTTTTATAGACAACCACTGTCCTGTCACCTGTGGTAACAACATTCTCACTTTTCTACTTTCCCAGCTAAGCTTGTATTATTAAACATTTAATCTATTTCAAATGTGGTCATACCACACTCATTCTTTTGAGCTTGTTTTCCGCTCAAAGTAATGCTTGTGAGGTTCATCAACACTGCTTTGCACCGTGGTGTGAACAGACTTTCTTTACTGATTTCTGTAGCCAGATCATTAAAGACACTGTAATTTCTACCTCCATCTCTTTACCACGCATTCCAGGGAGAAACAGCTGTCACGTTGTGAGGAGTCTTATGCAGCACGAAAAAGAGGCCTATGTGGCACCGCACTGCAATGCTCCATTAAGGGCAGTGGAGAAGTGAGGCCTGCTGCCAAGAGCCACCTCTGGTGATCCTTCTACCCCCCTTCAGCTCTCAGGTGACTGCATCCTGACGAAACCCCAAGCCTCAACCCTGCAGCAAAATCGCTCCTAAACTCGTAAAACCCAGAAATTGTAAGAAAACGTGTTTGCTGTTTTAAATCACTAAGTGTGGAATAATTTGTTATACAATAATGGATTTATACTTAAACACAAAAACAATTCCATACAATATTGTTTATGTTTCTTAGGTATTTTTATCCAGACAGACTTGTCATTCCCTTAGAAATACATGTTTGTAAAAGAACCCTTTTACATATATATAGAAATGTAGCTTACAGAAGTATGTAAATTTGTAATTACCTAGTAACAAGAAATTAAGTTTGATTTATGGCTGAAAATATTCTTCAGTAAGAAAAATGAAGTTTTATTCTTTTTTTTTTTAATAAGGTCTCTCTCTTTCTTAAGATTTATTTATTTATGCATACAGAACTGGGGTACAAGCCAGAGGGGGGTGAGAGGATTTACCAGAGACAGAGTGGGGAGCAAAACAGGCAGACTGACTGAAATATACTGTTAAGGGGAGCAGTGGGTGGGTCAGGAGAGGTCTGCCTCTCCATATGGGTCACCTCCCTGACTGGGGATCAAACTCGTGCTGCAGTGGCTGAGGTAGCTACATAGTGCTGTGCTTTAACCTGTTGCGCCACCCAGGAGGGCCTGTAGTTTTATTCTTAAAACAGAAAAAGACAATGCTGCGAAATGTGATGAAAACTGTTCCTACAAATTATTAATAAAATGTTGATATGGTGTCACTGAGGGCTCTTTGGGGTCACTGAATTAGTGGTAGGATCTAGAACCATTCAGTTTGTTTTAGCAGCCACTTATAACTGCCATCTTTGAGTTCTCTTTAGCTGTTGCAGAAAAACCAGAGACTGGGTGGTTTATGCAACAGAAATTTATTTCTCACAGTTCTTAAGTCTGCAAGTCTGAAATCAGTGCGCTAGCTTAGTGAGGTGGTGGTAAGGGCCCTCTACCAACTAACTGTAAACTGCCAATAAATCCTTGTGTTTTTTTTTTGTTTGTTTGTTTGTTTGTTTTGTTTTGTTTTGTTTTTATGGTAGAAAGAAAATGAGCTAGTCTGCAAATCCTTCTTAGAAGTCCCACTGACAGGACTTTACCCTCATGGCACCAAATCCAAATACCATTATACTGGGGATTACAATTGAATATATGAATTTTAGGGAGACACAAACATTAAGTCCATATGCAATAATTGACATGTATATGTCCAATAGCAAGGGTTAGCAGAGACCACATAGGTCAGAAATCAAGGAAGACAAATACGGTTTCCTTCTGCTGCACCAAAAATGACCCATTTTACATAGAGACTGAGTTTGAATTTCTGTCTTAATATCTTGAGCACCTTGTTCTAACCAACTAAAGATAATTAAAACACTAACATGGAGGAGAATAAAGATTTAACAAAAGTTCTTTATATTGTTTTTTCAAAATCATGATGAATTAAGATTTTTATAGTAAGAATATCTAGCTACTCACCATATGCTTTAGTGCATTAAAAAGCAGTTTTCTCCCAGATGGTTTGTCAAAATCAGCAATAATCCAGAAAGTAACAGGAAAAATTATGCTGTCATCTAAAATTTAAATAGGTTCGTCAAATTAATTATTTTAAAACTCAAAGTAAAGGCAGGTGTTCTGTTAACAAGCCACTTAAAATTTTAAAATCAGTCTTTCTGAAAATAAGAAATATTACTAAGAATTATACATATACACAGAACAACAAACATGAAAATGCTCAAAAGTCAAGTAATCCATTATATAAGCTTTTGTAAACTCAGATACTGAAAAGAAAGAGCAGCCCCTAGGACGTGCGTCTGTGGGACCCAGCGCAGATAAAATGGGCCTCTGCTTAGCGGGCTCCAGGCCTGGAAGGCAAAACTGTCTTCTGGCTCCACTGGAAAAATCATTTGGTACTTACATCCCTCACATACATAAACCCAGATATAATCAACTTATTAAGTGGATACTGAAAACAACAGCATTTTATTAGTTTAAGATACACTTATTTCAAAATGTCTAGCTGCTACTAACTTGCTCTGATTTACTTCATCTCATGCTATTAACATTATTTCTTCAGAAAAAACAGAAAATTTAGAAACTAAAGCAAGAAACAATTTTTAACTCTGAAATCACAGTGAAGCGGGTATAACACCAGAAATAGTATTTGCCTGGCAATCATTAAAACTAGAAAAATTAGTCCTTTGGATTACAAGACCCAAGTAAACAACTATAAAAAATTTGTTATATCAAAATCTTACTTTCATAATCAGTAATATCTGACTATGCAAAAAATTGCCTCTGAGTAATTGAAAGAAGTAATAAGGAAAATACCGATTCTCTTGCAACATTCAGAAACCACTTATAAGAGTAAGGTGCTCACATGATCTTTTCAAAGAAAAAAGGCAGGACTCCCTGGAGGCCTGGGGTTTAAGGCTCAGCTGCTGTAGAGTGAACTGGATCCCGGCCAGGGAGTGCCCCACAGAACGCAGCAGCGGGCCTCTCCAGTCTTCCCACTGCTCCCCTCAGCAGTACACTTCAGTAAATTTGCCTGTTCCGCTCCTCACTGTCTCTGGTGAATCCCCTCAGCCCCTACACCTCTGGCCTATACCCCAATTCTTGTACACACACACACACACACAGACACACACACAAATTAAAGAGATTCTGATGCTTTTGTAATGTCAGCATTTTACCAGCACCAAAGCTAGTAAATCGAGAAATATTTCTCAAATGCTAATTTTCTCACAACTCTATTACCCCTTTATACATTTACACAAATGCAAATAAAAGGAAATTGTTTCTTAGTGCTTTTTTAATTGCAAAGCAATTAACCAAGCAGCATTAACTATTCTGATGCCCAAAGGCAATATTCAGAATATAATTCAGAACCTGATAAATGCTTCTCTGATTTTTGATTCCTAATTTCTTTGTCTCTTTTAACAATCACGTGAGACATTTCGGTCCTCAGTCTGCCCTAACAAGAAACTATATTTTATTTATTTATTTATTTATTTTTTTAATTATAAAGTTCATTTTTACATCATTTTGCACATTTTTTTTTTTCCATCTCGATTGTAATCCCCGCGGGTTCCCATCACCAAATCACCCCTGTGCCACCACCATAGTCCCGTGCATTTCCCTCCCTTCCCGCCCCCCCCCG